TTACGCAGATTACAATCTGTTTTTATGGCATACCTGATATAGCCCGCCCCTTCATCCCTGCAACCCCTTTCACCTCGTTACGCTGCTGAAGCAGCAACAGCCACTGGCCTTAAGTGCAGGTAGCCTTTTTGGCTGCTGTTTCGTTGCCAGCTGAAAAATATGTTTAATCATATTGTAAGCACACACACATACACACACAGAGAGACACATGTGTATGTGTGCAGCGCATTATTTATTCCTTTTAATGACCCTTACGAGGCAACGCTGCGTATACGTTATGTGGCATCGCATGCGTTACGTATACGCAACGTGGCCAAATTATGTCCAGCCATTGATGAGAATATTAAGATATTAAGAAATATTGCATATAAATGTATGTGTTAAGGCAAAGGCTTTGAGCATTCTTCAAATGGAATACCGTTAATGGCCAGCCATTAACATATTACTGTTAATAAGCCAACAGGCAGCTAATAGGCCATGGGCATGTTAAGTAGAGAGCCACTTATGTTAGTTGGACTGTTATGCAAAAAATGTTCGCGTATCCTTTAAAGAGCTTAAAATACGCCAGCTGAAAGCTGCTTTTTTATAAATATTACAACGGAATACTCTGATATTCCTTTTGATTAATCAATATACAATTGAAAAAACATCCAATAAAATGCAAAAAACATAGTTTCAAAAGAATCACGTCAGCTAGCTGCACAATGCAATTGAATTAAGTAAAATGTTCGCTTGACAAAGAACGTGAACATATTCAACGAATATTGCAGGCGAGTAGTATTTAATTATTATTTAAATAAAATTAAATAGCATTAAAATTATATTGTTTGCCTTCGCGCATTTTTTTGCACTTGCGATATTTCAAATTTCCCTTTTTAACTGAAACCTTCATTTCCATTTCCAATCAGCGCAGCTTTTACATAGATATTTAAATACATTTTAGGTCAATCGGTTGAGAAAAAATGGAAATAAAAATGGGTAAAAAAATTGTAATAAAAAAAAAGTGTTTTAAACCCGTTTTCCACCCATTTTTCACACTTGAAGGTGGAATTGGTCTGTAAACTGTTAGAAACGCGTAAAATGCGCCTGCAGTGAATTTTTTAAAAACTCTTTAAAAATTAATTTGAAGCTGATCGATGATAAACACATAAAAGATTTTTATAACCGATTTCCACCAATTTGTCACACTTGCGGGTGGAATTGTTCAAAATCCATCCCAGAGTATACTTAACTTCCTTACGGCTTGGCTTCTGAGATGTAAGAAAAGCGTGAAACGCGCCTTCCGTGTAATTTCACAAAGCCCGTTAAAAATGTGTTAAAATCTGAACCGATGTTAAGAAAAAAAAGTTTCCTATAACCGTTTCACACGAATTATTCACACTTGCGGGTGGAATCGGTCTGTGAAATGTTTGAAAGGCGTGAAAAACGCCTTCGAAGCTGATCCGATAGTAATCAAAAAAAGTTTCTTACAACCGTTTTCCACCAACTTTTCACACACTTGCGGGTGGAATTGTTCGAAATCTCGTCCTAGCGTGCACTTAAATTCCGCACGGCTTGGGCTGTGAAATGTTTACCAATCAATCAGTCAGTCAGTCAGTCAGTCAGTCAGTCAATCAGTCAGTCTGTCAATCAGTCAGCCAGTCGGGATAGAAGAATAATCGACATACTTTACATGCAAGTCAATATCCGACAGCGTCCGGGTCTCGAGGTCTTGCCAACAGCTGCCAACTGAAGTGCTGTTAATTATGGAGTCGAACTGCAATCATAATGCCTGTTGCTGGCTGTTGTTGCCAGCGCTGAAAGCGGAATGCATATTTGATTGCGAATTGTATCCGTACCGCTGCCCGGCGCCTATCTAGCCCCCCCCCCCCCCCCCCTCCCAAGCTGCACCCACACAGCTGCCTGGGAAATTGGAAATGCAAACACTTTGAAAACGTCATTAAAATGGCGCACAACAAAAGTCATTCGTAATGCAACCAACGACGGCAACCAGTTGCAAACCACTTGCGCGACATTTGATTTGACACTTGAATAGCTATATTTAGAGGGTATTCAGATGCCACGCCCAGCCACCCACTCAGCAGGCAGTTCCACACCCCGACCCCACTGAAATCCATCATCCATTGCAGTTGGCATAGTCGATTTTCGCGCTTGGAATTCAATTGCACAATTTGAAAAGTGTTTAGGCAGTTGATTGAAATATATGCATGCATGTGTGTGCGTGTGTTTGAGCATATCTTGTTGGCAATTTGGTATGGCTTATGCCATCGATTGCTGCTGCTCCTGCTGCTGCTCCTGCTGCAGTCGAGCTGAGTTTCAGCATTTCCTCCGCAAGCGCAAACGGCGAAATTCCATTCGCATCACTTAAAGTTGCAGCCCTCTGCCCACCCCCCCTGCCTTGTCCGCCCCCTTTTTGGAAAATTTGCTAATTGGACTGGCCAATTTGTTGCTGTCAAGCAATTAGCAAATGGCCACGCCCACCGGCCCTCAAACAGTAAGCGGCTTAGCATTTTTGCAACACATGCCACGCTACAAAGAAGCGGACCAAAACGCAAAAAACGACCACTCAACATTGTGAGCACTTGTTGACACTGCCAGGCTCTGTCCGTGTGTGAGTGTGTGTATATGTGCGGGTGTGTGTGGGTGTGTGTGGGTGTGTATGGGTATGTGTTATATGTCTTATATGTTTCCCAAACATTAATGGATGACAGGGGAAATATAATGCATATAACATAATGTATCGATATATGTTTATCGATCATTGTGTGTAGCTTATCATTTTGCTTTACGGTTTTGCAGATATGTGAGAATAGCTCGTAAATACTGAGTTTGATGAAAACATACAACAACTCATTTCCGAGCGCTGCTTCCTATAGAGCTGTATAATATAAGTAGTAGTGCGATAATGATTAGAGTTGACTCAAATATAAGCAGCATACTCTAAATAGTTAATCCCGGAATAAGTCAAGATATCATTAGAAACAAAGAAGTCTTTCATAGAAGAACCTCCTTCTCGACCGATCGTTCCTATGGCAGTTATATAGCAGATATAGTGGTCCGATCTGGCCGGTTGCGACATACGTACAGCCTGCAACAGAAAGTCGGACTCATGCTAAGTTTCAAAAGGATAGCTTTTAAACTGAGAGACTAGTTCGCATTGAAACGGACAGACGGATAGACGGACTTGGCTATATCAACTCGGCTATTGATATATACACTTTATGGGATCGGAGATGTCTCCTGTCATGCGTTACACTTTTCATGACAATATTATAATACCCTTTTAAAGAGTGCATGGTTATATGCATAAACGTCAGCTGGCATTTAAAGCGTCTTTAAATCTGCCCGAAGTTAACTTGAAATCCACAAACAAACAAATATTGTTAAGAATAATGCTATGTAATCCTTTTCAAATACGTGCATAGCCCAATAATTTGTTGGGCATAGACGTAGCCTACACGAGTTTAGACTTAACGGAAATGCGTTTAAACTTACCTGGTTTACATGCCTGACCTTTTCATATGCGCAGTATATAGTGTGCATTTCCCAGCATTTCACAGCATTTCCCTGCAATATCTTTAACTTTGTCCTTTTCCGTGTCTACTTTTTGCATGTTTAAATAATGTGTCTGTGTGCGTTTCATCAAACGTTGAAACGTACGCGTTTGGCCGCACAACAGTTACGTTATACATAAATCTACGCATATTGCCGCACACACACACACACACCCGCATACACATACACACACACACACACACACACACAGCAAAACACACGCCACATTGACAAAGGGGCAGCCGCATGGACACGTGGTTGAAAGCATGGCTTGTTTTAATCCTAATACTCTGTCTGTGTGTGTGGGTGTATGTGTATGCGGGTGTGTGGGTGTGTGTGTGGGTGTATGTGTGTGTGTGTGTGTGTGTGTGGGTTATATGCTACTTAAGCACTTAAGCGCATTTTCATACATTTAAGGCGATTTCGTTTCTAATGCTCATTTCCATTTGTTGCTCCTATTTGTTTGAACAATGCTCCTTTCTTGTTGTTGTTGTGTTTATTGTTATTGTTGTGTTTATTGTTGCTGTTGTGTTTTTTTTCTGTTGTTTTCTTGTTGTGGTTTTTTGTTTTGTTTCTGCCATTAACTGATTTCGATGTGCAAATATCCAAAATAATTCCTTCACAATATATATTTAACTTAACAAAATGTTCAAACATGAAACGAGATGATTTCAAAAGCTACTGAATTTTCACAAAATGTTGTGTTTTAAATTAACTTGTGTCTTAGTTAACTCTCAAAGTCGATAAATTGCTCAAGTATTTAAAAGACCTCCGAAAACCAAGTCTAAATGACTTTGGGATCAATATACCAAAACGATTTCAGATTGTTTTAAAAGTTCCTAAGCACATAAAATATTGCAAAAATGTTATCCGTGAAATGAACTTAAATATTTTTTGATTATTTTCTTTAACAAAAATGTTATTTAAGAAACATTTTTTAAACAAGAAACTTCTTAAAATTAAACTCGTTAAAAAATCTGATACTCAAACGAAATGAAAACCAAACTTTTTCTAATATAATGTTATTTGTGTATAGTTTAAATAGTTTCTTGTTTTCCAGCTTGATTTAAGTCCATGCTTTCGATACATTAACAATTTTTAAAAAAAGTTATTTATTACGTTATTTTATTTGGCTCAAAAAGCAAACGTAAAACAATTATTAAATAATATTTTTTAAAAAAATTAAAGCAATAAATTAATGCATAATATTTCAATATCTCAAAGAAAGATTTAAAAAAAGAATTAGTTAAGCACTTTGAAATTTAAAGCAAACAATTTAATGCAAATTATTTCAAAATCTTGCAAAAAACTGTTGAAACTAGTTTCATGTTTTTCATTTTTTTTTTGTTTTTTTTTTTTTTTGTCAAGCAATAATTTAAGAATTTGCAGATATTTTTGAGCTTAACAAAAAAAAAATAAATTAAAAAAATAAAAAAAAATACACACACTTTGGGAAACTATGCGACGGCTATAAAAAACCGCCAGACATAGAATCTAAATGTTAGCCCACAAATTTGATGGGTTTTTATCGTATCGATATTGATTTCTTAGGCTTCTCGCTGGGATCGGAGTCTTTGTATGGGAACTAGGCAAAAAAAAATATGTTTGACTTGGGCACGCGCTGCGACTGTTGGTAAATGGCCACTTGAGTTAGTTGATTGGGCGCCCCTTTGCTTAGACCTTGAGGCGCTCCTGGGCATATTGCAGCGCGTCGCTGAGTATGCGACGTTCGAGGCGACGATACTGCAATACCATGATATCAATCTCGGATGGAGCTGGCTGTTGCTGCAATGCCTCCAACTGCTGCTGCTCATCGGCCTCTTTGAGCGTCGCATCGAGCACGCCGAGCAGCAGCTTGAGCCGCTGGTATAGATACTGCCAGGTGCGCGTCTCCAGATCCGTTTCAAGCGCACAATCAATGTGCAGCAAATCGATGGCGCGCTCCAAATCGCTGCACCAATGCTCCAGCTGCTCCTTGCTCATATTGAACACACGAACAAAGGCCAACAGTTCGCCGGAGATGTGCTCCGGTGCGGGCAGCACACGCAGCTCCGCCTTCCGCTCGATATTCAGCTCGGACAGCAGGAGGGCACGCTGCTCGGCCAGCGCGTCCGTTGGACTGAGACCCAAACGTATTTGCACATAATCCTTGGGATTATTCATATCCAGAAAGCTTTGCGAATTGAAAACAAATTAATGCATTATGCACTAGGGTTTAATCCCTTGCCAGGCACTCACCCATGATGCACCAGTCGATCCGCATTGGATCTATCTCCGTAGTAAATAAAGAACTGTTCGCCCGCCTTAAATGCCTCCTGGGCTATGCACTCCATTTGCTGTGCGGCCGGTTTGTAGTATGAGGTTATTTTGCCGCAACGATGATTCGCCATATCCCAATATGGTATCAATGCCGACATCGGTGAGTTTCTAACGCCCTTCTCCGACATTGGGTTCATTTCGAAGCCCGAAAATCGTATTACATCGGAATCCGTGGCCAATTGCCGGGGCACCAGATTCTGACGCGTCGTCACCGTGGACACCGCCCAGCTGCATGATTAAAATTTAAAAAAGTTCAGTTAACGTTTTATGTAAATCCTTAAACACCATAATTAAAAGTAGGTAAGACTGCGACAGGCGGCTATGCTTAACCAAAAGACACACAGTCCGATCCTTATAAGGTGTTCAGGTCTTAAATATGGGTGCAATATCTGTTTGTAAATATCGTTTTATGTTTCATTTTGAGGTATCCATTTAAACTTTGTAATCTATACGAGAACCTACAAAACAAGTTTGGTGTATATAACTTTTAAATGCATGTCTCAAAATCGATATCTATCGGTATAATATAAATAGGTGCAAATTTCGATAAGAAAAAGTGATAAACTCCTTTGAATTTATATATATATATATTCATATATTCATATATTCATATATTCACGTATTCATATATTCATTCATTCGAATATTTATATATTTTAAATTTCAGACCTTTTTCTATAGTTTCCGAGATAATCGTTCGAATTAAGCATATTTATACCTTATGTTACATACATTTGCACAAGCACATCATACCCATTTTAAACAATTGAACTGGTCATAGGGTATGGTTAGTTGAGTTATATTAAAACCGCTGAAAACTGTTTTCCTTTATACTGCTATTTGCAGTTGCAGTTTCTGCATTTTTTTTTCGATATACCCTGTAGATAATAAATTGACTAGCAATGGGTAGCATCAAGCCAGGCAAGCTTAGTTAAGCAAAGGGTGTATCGAGAATGAAGTTAAGACTAAAAAATGGTTAAAGTTCGAAATTGATGCGATTAAGGATTTTTGAATATGAATAAATTTAATAAGAAATAAAGTCAGAAATAAATTGAAAAAGTTAAGTCAAAAGATGATTGGAAAACCCAAAATTGCCTTTGCCTTCCTACGTTATTGACAAAAAGAAAATATACGTATTTTCATATTACAAAATTTGTTTTTCGTTCAAATCAATCCGTGTACAGGGTATGCAACGGTCGTGCAGTCGCCCCGCTCTCACATTATTTACTTATATTTTGGCTTTTGCGTGGCTTTGGACCACAAAGCAAAGTTTTCCATTTAATTGCGCATAAATTTTTCAATTTAATTATGAAAAGCGGCAACTTGTTTGAAGTGGTTAAAAAAAAAAAATGAGGGTTCCGCGCAGCAGGGGCGGGGGCAGCGCGGGGCTGTCGAGCAGGGATATTGCAGGTATGGTTAGAAATCGTCAGCAGCAGGAACAGAAACAACGACAACAACAACAACAACAACAACAGGAACACGAACGACAAGCAGCTAAGCAGCTTTTTGCGGTTGCCGGACTACACCAGCCCCAGCCCCCACGTCAATTGAGCCCCCCCCCCCCCTTCCCGCCCTTTTCGGTTGCGCCCCTTTTGTATTGGCCATTATGTGGTAGAAGCTGGCTTTGGAGCAAAGTTGCCATGCCAAAGTGTTTTTCGACGGATTTTTCTTTTTCTTTTTTGTTAACTAATTTCATAAAGGCATAAAACTTATCAAAGTGTTTGCCGTATAGAAGTCGACAAAAGTACCGCAACAAAGCGCCAGTTAAGCCAATTAACCGTAAAATAAGAGCTTTAATTTAACTAATCGAGTGTGCCTAATTTAAATAATAGAATATACGTATACATATTTTATGATCAGCTTCACTTTAATTAAAGCTCATATCATCTATACATATTTGGGCAGGTTTCTGTTAAATTTGACAAGCACTTTTAACAGTCGTATTTTAAAAAACCACTGACAAGCATATGTTATCTATTTATTTTATACAGGCCGCGTTTAAACACATTCATATTGTCTATATCTTATTTTTGCAAGCTCCTGTTAAATTTGACTAACACTTTTAGCAGACGAAATTTAAAAAATAATACACCAACTTAACTATATGTTATCTATATATCTTGATCAGCCTGCGCTTAAACACATTCATATCGCCTAACTTTGCAAGCTACTGTTAAATTTGACACACACTTCTAACAATCAAAATTTAAAAGTTTACCGACTTAAGCCTATGTTATCTTTATAACTTTAGCAGCCTGTGTTTAAACCCTTTCATGTCGTCTATGCATCATTTTTGTAAGCTGCTGTTAAAGTTGACAAACACTTTTAAAAGTCGAAATACAATAATTCACCGACTTAAGCATATGTTATCTATATATCTTGATCTGCCTGCGTATAGACACATTCATATCGTCTGTGCATCATTAATGCAAGTTACTGTTAAATTTAACATGTACTTCTTTCAAAGAATCCACCTTAACTAACAGCATACGCTTCAAGTCTACATCTTAAGACATTCAAAGCCATTTTTCGAACAAATTTAACATTCGATATCCATCGTACAAACGCATTCAACAGTCGCTATTTAAATCAGATACAGAAACAAACATATGTGCCAACTGCACATGCTGCAACTCTTAACATTCTCAATATAGTTTGACAAACACTTAATTAAGTTGTCAGCTTTGATATCAATTTCTTAGTTCAATCTAAAAATGACAGCCACTTTATTATGCTGTCAACTTTTGGTATTGTGTGTACTGTTGTGACTGCTGCCAAAATGTCTAAATACAATTTGTGCACCTATGATATATTTAACAGCATGATAAAATGCCAGTGTTGCCACCCCGACTGCCAGCTTGGCTAGCTGACACTTAAATATAGATTGAACAACATATTTCTATAGCCAGCAAACGACAGAACGTTGCCACATTTCATATTGAGTGATTGGCAGCATTGAAGTGTTGCCACCCAGCAATGACAAATCTGGCAGCACACAACAACAATGCACTTAAGCCAACAGTAGCTTGCAAGAGTAAGTGAAAATATGTATTAAATAATTTCATACGGCTACGCTTTTTACTCAACCCTGGCTTATTGTCAATTTAAAATCATAGCGTTGCCATATTTCTGCACAATTTCAACACATAAGTGTCATGAGCATGAAAACCCGAGACGTTATGTCAACTGCAATAAGCTGCGAGCGGGACATGGCAGACCCGGGCAAAATATTTGCACAGTCGATGACAACTTTAACGCTAACTTGACATTTATCGACTGCACAAAAACAACAACAACAACAACAACGACAATGGCATTATAAAGTAGAAGAAAACGTTGCAGCTCAACAGCTTGGCAATAAACTGCCCGCTGGATAAAAAAAATAAACAAGAGTGCTGAAATGGGAAATGCCCGACTAAGGGATACCCTGAATCTTCTTCCATCAACACCAACTACCGAACCGAACTACTTGCCACCGCCTCATACTGTATGTATGTATGTGTGCACATGTATATAGAGATTCACGTGACTTGCCAACCGCACGTTTTCTTTAATAACTTCTGTGTTTCTTAACCGATCTTGATCAAATTTTCAGCAGTAGATCTTATTGTGCTATAGAATATATTTATATTCAGAAATTGCGACCGTTGTTGATGTGCAGTTGCAATTGATTTATTTACTCAATTTATAGCTATGGGCTGAAGATGGGGCATGGCGATAGCTCTAGAAGGAGAGATACTTGATCTATATGTATATACAATTCAAGAAGCTACGTGTCAAGTTTGGTGACTCTAGCACTGTAAACCTAGGGTATTTGCTCAAAAAACCGGATTGCTATATCGATTTTTATCGATTGTTTCGAAACGGGGCAAGCTATCGATTATCACAAAAACAAACTCGTACAGCGCGGGCTCTAGGAGGAACTACTAATCGACGCATTCATACATACGGAAAGGCAGGCGGACATCGGTAGATCGGCTCGACTATAGAATCTGATCAAGAATATTTTTTTTTTATGATGTTTGAGATGCTTCCTTCTGCCTGGCACATACTTATGCACAAAACCATTATATCCCTTTTCCCCATTTTTAATGGATCAGGGTATAAAAATAAGGCCAAAAAGTGCACGGAAAAAACTCAAAAAACTAGAGAAAAGGAAGAGAAGAAAAAAGTGAGGTTATGTGACTATAAAAAAACGCCGCATGCGGCAGCCAAACGAAGCGCGTTGCGAACTTTTGGAGGCTGCTGTTGCTCTTGCTGCTGTTGCCGCTGCTGCTGACAGGCCAAGTTCTAAAGTGTTGCCATTGCTGTCAACACAGGCGGACACATACACTCGCACACACACACACACGGTCTCACACACATGCATGCCACACGCTGGAGTCTGTCTCTGTCTTGCTCTTGCGCCTGTATGTGTGTGTGTCTCAATTTGATTTAATGCATTGCAAAAACACGCGCAGGGTTGCATTTTAAAGCTGCTCCCATTGCAGGCTCTTTTTCTTCTTCTTCTTCTTCTTCTTTGTGCGCCCTCAATTGCAGCTTGTGGCATTGCTGCTCGATTCTGTTCAGTTCGTTTGGGATCTTTGTTTAAAACTTTGCCGAATGAAACAATTCGATTGCCATTGACGTCCATCTTCATTATGCATGCAATCTCCACAGCCAAAACTTGACCATATTGAAAAGAAAAAGCCAAAAAAGTGTTTCTTTGGGAGTGCCCGACTAGCGGATACCCTGAACCCAACGCCCTTGCCTCCAACCAAGTCCTTGAGACATGCATTCTTCAATAACTTTGGACTTTACTGTCCGATCCTTATAAAGTTTTCAGGACTATATCAAGGTTCCTATTTTTCCAATTTCGTGCGGAACATGTTTAGATATACAAGAAGTTCAACGTTTCGGATTTGTGTATGCATTACAAGAGATTCATGTCTTGGTGTCTTGAGCTCTTATAAGCTATCGATATCGATTTGGATCGATTTCGTGTTAACGAGGCGAGCTATCGATAATTCCAAACAAACTTTATCTGCCAAACTGTTTCATATTCCACGACTCTAGCTCTTATAGTCTCTGAGAACAAACGGGCAGATTTATGTATGCCGTATGGAGTCGTATAAACCTCCTCTCGCCTGTTACATACATTCACACAGAACTTCTATACCCTTCTAAGCCATTTTCAATGGAACACGAAGGCGGGGGTAGAGCAGATATTCATCCAATTTGAAAGGTAGACAACAAAACATGTCACACAGCGAGCGACGCCACAGTCAAATGATTTGAGGGAAATGCGTTTAATGCTTTTTTCCCAGCAATTGCACTGCAGGCAACGGCGTCTAGAGATGAGCACGTGATGAACTTGTTTTAAAGCACAAAACACTGACAAATAATTCAAAATTATAAATAAAGAATCGTGACTTGATATCGAAATTGTGAAATTAATTTGTGAACTAAACGCAGAACAAAAATTCGAGCAATCACTGTATATTTGCACCAAGATCCAATGCGGATAAAAACAGATTAATTTGCGTAACTCGCGAAAAGACAAACGCAACTATCAAAACAATAGATTCAGAGAACATTATCGATATGTAATCGATTTGTTATCGAAGTGTACTCGATATATTGCCGATACTTTTATATTCATGCCCAAATTCATTACGACAGGCGCCCATCTCTAACTAAGGAAGCGCCCAAATTGCCGAGCGCCTTGGCTTATGCAATGATTTCTGTTCCATTCCATTTCGTCTTGTTCCATTCCGCATTGTGCTTTACTGCCTTGCTACAGCTGTGGAAAGTGTGCTGGTTGGGGCGAGGCGTGGCGGAACGGTTTGTGTTTTCAACTTTACATTATTTTTGCATTGTTTGCAGTTGTCGCAAAAAGTTTTCGCTTCTCGTCTCTGCGCTGCAGTCGCTTCTCTCGTCTCGCCGTTTGTTTTCGGCTGGCATATTGGGTAATGAGTTTCGGCCAAAACTCTGAGCGAGTTTTGGCGCTTTGTTTGGTTAACTTTTCAACGTCAACAATTTAGTTTTGTCATTAGCCTTCGAGTTAATTATTCGCACGGCGGCATTGCAAATTTCTGAAATACGCTCAGGTATTTGTGGGGCTCTCATCACTTAATGGCTTCACAAACAATCACAATAAAGGGTAACAACAACAACAAAGCATGCAAAAAGTAGAGCCAGCATAGAACTCTGGGCTGCTGCTGAATTGAAACAAGTTGCATATACAAAAATAATATTCCTTTGCTAACTATAAGATATACCTGAAAGTTGAGCTTGAACAGAGAAGCAATATAATTCAATTCAATCAATTGAATCCCTTAAAGCATTATTATTTTCGGCATGCCTAAACTGAAATACCCATTAAAATATATACATATATATCAGATTTATGTTATTTTTCACTTAACTCAATTCTTAATTGATTTTAATTAGCAAGCTTTGTGGTATCATCATATTATAGCCATTTTAGACTAGTCTCAAAGCGCCGACCACTGATCAAGAATTTATATAGCTAACAGGATTGAAGATATGGAAGATAATATCAAGCAACAATTTAAAGCTTTACCAAGTTTCATCAAAATAGCTTCAATGAGCTTTGAGCTCGCATAGGACAGCTGAATAGATATGCATAGGTAGCGTCACGCGGTACCTGATTCTATTTAACGTTTAAAAATCTCGGAAAAAGTCTGCTTTAATGCATAACAAATGATGCTGTGCAAAGTGAAGTAAACAGTCCCTTTGGTAGGTCATCAAAAAGCCAATCTTATCAATTTTATTAATGTGGGCTTCGAATCCCAAACCACAGACAGGCACACACACACACACACATGTACACTCATAAGGCTCATAAATGCAGAAATCGGAATTTGCATTAGACTGATTGGAGCTGGGAAAATAACAGTGCGAGAAAGAGAGGGCGTGAGCGAAAGAGAGAGAGAGAGAGAGAGAGAGATAGAAAGAGTTACCATTGGGCCAAGCCAATTACTCAGGCTAACCATGGGCGTGCAAGGGGTGATTAGGGGCAGGAGCAAAGGCTGGAGCGGGGGATGGAGCGGGGGCTGCGGCACAGGCACATGTTCGATGCCAACAACATAATAATCCCGGCTGCGAATAATCATCCAAGCTTTTACGCTTCTTATGCAGACATCAACATAATGGGGCGGCTAACTGGACGCGAGGGGTAAGGCAATATGCAGTAGGGGGTGAGTAAAAAGGGGGGGAGTAAAAGAGTTGGCGTTAAATTGAAAATTAATTACGTGAACAGAAAAGCGCCTGAAGTCACGGTTTGGCAGATTATCAATAGTCAAATCTCTCTCTCTCTCTCTCTCTCCCTCGTATGCCCAACTCTATCCGTCTCTTTCGCTATTTTCCCGTAAGAGCAGTTTAGGAAGTTTAGACAGCCTGTGTGTGTGTGGTTGGTTGTGTGTGTGTGTGTGTGTGTCTGCTTTAGCCAAATTATAGCAAATGGCAAATGTAATTATGAATTCAGCAAACATTGATTGCCTTGTCGGCGAGTGCTGCTCTAGTTAATCAAATTTGATGGCATATATAAATCATTAACACAAATTATGGCAGTTATCTAGAACATATCGATAACAAACTGTTTGGTCGTGTACAAAGCAATGTTGGTCTTATCGATAACGGAGCGGTAACATATCGATAACATAGCGATAACAAGCTGTTTGCTATGTACAAAGCAGTTTTGGACTAAGTAATGGGCTTCAATGTTGTTCAAATCAAATCGATAGCAAATCAGCTGATAATCGATAACAATTCAGCGCGTACGCCAATCGATAACAATCGATAAGTGCTAGCTTTTTGCGCAATCAACAAAAGTCTTACCAAAAATTAAGTTATTTGCAGAAGGTAAAGCCGAGAATTAAATAATTCCCTAGATGGTACTCTTCTATATAAATATATGTATTAATATCTTAGCTCTTTCCTTCTACAAGTCAATTAATAGCTGCCTTGCTATAACCTATCTACCTCTGTCTTCTCTTTTCACTTCTTTGTTACTCTCTTCCTCACTTCGTATATTTTCCATATCCGTTTATTGTTCTATATTTCCAACTCTTTCTTTTGCTTTTCCTTTCGCACTACCTAGCTGTATTCCTATCTCTTTCTCTTATTCCCTCGCTCTCTCACTCAATCTCTTTCTTTACCTCGTTTATAAAAAGCTTTATTCCTTATATTTTCTTTTATCTTTATATTTTATTTCTCTCTTCGTTTCGATATTTCTTCTTTCTCTCTCTCTCTCTCCTCTTTTTTGAATACCCTTCTTGTGTCTCCGTATCTCTATTTCGTTTGATGTTTATCTTTCTCTCGTATTTCCTTTTAATTCTTTTAACCTTCCATTCGTGTCGCCTTTCCCTTCTCTTTTGCTTGCATCCTTTATATATTTATCCTCTTCTCTCCCCATTTACCCTCTATGTTATTTCACTCCTTCTACCTTTCATATTCAATAAACATATATCTATCTGTTTCTTCCCTCCACTCTCTTTCCCTCTCTTCAACCTCCCTATAACTTTGAGGAGCATTAATTTTTGAATTCCTCTATGCGCTTAATTCGTAAACGTTTCACCAGCTACACACTTAAATATACTGTCGTCTAGCATATTGTTGTATCTGTTTTGATGAACAGATTTAAATGGGTACTCACACGCATATGTTAAATTGATTGCTCACACACACCCGCACAGCCGCACACTCACATACACACACGCTCACAGAGCCTTTCACACAGACCGATTGCTCTGGTGGCAGCATTCATAAATGCCATCAATCAATGAAGTCCATCAATCAATGAAAGTCAATCCAACGCGCTGACCATGTGCTAACCGGCGCTATAAATCTCTCTTTTTCTGCTCAGCTGAATCTGATAAGCCGTCCCATTCATGCTTGTTCTTTCTCTTCCACTTCACTTGCAGCAGCTGCTCCAAACTGGCGTCTCTCTCATTGTGGACGATGGCAAACCAACGCCCGAGGCAGCTGTGTCCCGACGTCGTCCCGGCGGCGGCAAACGCAAACGACGTCCCCAACTGCCGCTGGCCACAATGGGCGCCAACGAGGAGGAGAACAATGGCGCCTATTGGCGCGGACATGTGGAGGATGATCACAGTGCAGCTGCTGCTGGGAATGTTGGTGTCCGGCGCAAACAGTTGCCCATACGCGAGCCAATGGCGGCACTGGAACGGGAACGCGACCGGCATCGACAGCGTCCGACGGAGGCGCCAGCCGTGGGTGGCAAGGCCTATCGACGACCCTACGGCCAGGCCAAGAAACAGGATCAGGAGCAACAACTGCAGCAGCAGCAGCAACAACAACTGATGCCAACAGCTGCCACGGGCAACAGAACGCCGGTGGATCTGAAGAATATTTTGAAAAACTCGGGCGGGCTCAGTCTCAGCGAGATATTGCAACAGAAGAATCTATCGCTGGATGATCTGCTCAAGGGCAAGCAGAATGCGCTGCTGGCGCTGCAGACCACAGCGGTGGCGCCTGCATCCGCTAGCCAGGAGCCCAAGGTCAAAGCAACGGGCCAGAGCAGCAACGGCAACAACAAGCATGGTGTGCGACGCATACCCGCCGCCTTTCTGACGCATGAGCAGGATGTGGAGGAACAGCAGCAGCAGCAGCAGCAGCAGCAGGAAGATGCCCGCCAGCAGGAGGATTCCCGGGAGGAGCTGTTCAAGCCCAAGCAAAACAAATTGCCGGCACTGCAGCGTTTAAAGCTATTCGGCAGCTCGTCGCGCGAGGGCAGCAGCACCAGACGCACGCTGCATGCCAGCAGCACAGCAGCAACAGCAACTGTTGCTAGCAGCACAACGACAACAACGACAACAACACGTTTGCCGCTGTACAAGAAGCGACAGCAAATGCGCTCCACACTAAAGCCGCCAGCATTGTTCAAGGCAACAGCAAGCAGCACAACCGCAACAATAACTACAACCGCAGCAGCAGCAGCAGCAACAGCAGCAGCAACCGAGCTGGATGAGCAGCAATTGCTGCTGGAGACAACAACAGCTGCTGTGACAGCGGCCGCAACAGTTGCGCCCGAAGCAGATGTGTCCGAGGAGGAGAACAGCAGCGAGTTGCCACCAGCAACGCGTTACCGCACGCGCCACAACAGCAACAACAGAGGCAGCAGCAACAGCAACAGGGACAGAGACAGCAGCAACAGAGACAGCAACAACAAACAGGAGCAAACGAAACGTCTGCGTGACAATATTATTGGCAGCATTTATGATCGGAATTCCGTGGAGAGCATTGAGGATGTGGAACTGGAGCTGGCTGAGAATGTTGTCAGCTCCGAGGCCACGCACAGCACAGCAGCAACACACAATAGTAACAGCAGCAGCAGCAACAGGTTCGGCAACAACAGCGCCGAGCAGCTCGGCTATAATGATGGCAACGATGAGCTGGAGAACTTTTTCGATGAGGTCGAGAGCAATACGCAACACATAAGCGTGCCAGCGCCGATAACCACGGCCCGGCCGAGCAGTCCGACTATGCGTGTCCGGGCCAAGCAGCCCCGGCCACAGGCACAACCCCAACCACAGCCGCAGCAACAGTCGCCGGCGCCGATGATTTTAATGGATGATGTGGACGATCGCACAGATCTGCTGGAGTTAATTGAGGATCGACGTTCGGGCAATCGTTTGTTTAAGGTGCTCGAACAGCGCAACATGACGCTGGAGGAGCTGATCGAGCATCGAAAACGGGGCTCCAGTCAGCTACATTTGTCGACCATACTGAGCACGGGCAAGGATCATTCGCGTTTCTATCCGGGGCAGAAGGTTGTGCTGCAGGATAATATGGATATTGTGACGGCATTTGAGAATTTTCCACATTTCAATTTGATTGATTTGAAGAGCGTTAAACCGGATGAGATAAAAACGGATTCGCAGGGCTCCAGTTATTTTACATCGATTATCGATATTGAGCCCAATAATGATAATGACGATAATGGCGATAACAACAACGATAACAACAATCGTAATCGAGGTATAACTGCATTGCGGCTACGGCGTCAACGTCAGCGCCAGCGCGAGCAGCGCCGGCGACAGCTGCAGTGAGCGTGTGCTGAACGCGCGCGTATTTGGCGCGTGCTGAGCTGTTGCCGTTTATCGTTTATCGTTTATCGTTTCTTGATTATCGATTTTCCTTTTCCGTTGCCGTTGTTGTTGTTGTTGTACTTGTTGTCTATCGCGGCAGGTACACAGCAATGCGGCAGCAGCTCAGCACGCCAAATGCACACACGTAAGTAATAGCTAGGAATGTTTGGCATATTTCAAGTGCGTTTATGTTATCGATATATCGATTCTATAGTTTATCTAACAATTTATTTGCTGTCAATTCAGTTTACTATTCTATTAATATATAAAAATGTTGTTCGCGTTTAGGTTTACTTTTTCAAATCGTGTTTGTATTATCGACTTAATATCGATAGCATTACAATCAATTCAAAACTAGATTCTGTTAGGCCGGGACACACAGCTACCAGTTTTTTCAGCGCCTATTGATTGCATTTCATCGATAAGCGATACACTAGTGCATCGATACATAAATCGATAACATATTTTTGCATTCTATTCTATAGTTTATCTAACAATTCATTTGCGTTAAATTTATTTACTATTCTATACATGAAAGTACGGTAATAGACAGTAAAAACACACCGATATATAGATTCGGTGTAATCGATAAATTATCAAAAGCGATTCAATGTCTCCTCGCTAACATACAGATTAAATTTTAACAGAAAACTACCAATTTGATACAAAAACGTTGTTCGCTTTTAGGTTTAGTTTAGCAAACTGTGTGTGTGTTATCGATTAATTATCGATAGCATTCCAATTTATTGAAAAGTAGATTATGTTAGGCTGGAACATATAGTTATTTGTTTTGTATATGCCTATTGATAGCATATCATCGATAAGCGATGTACTAGTGCATCAATATATATCGATAACATATTTTTTTTACTACAACACACACCAAATATGCCATCACGCCTGGTACTTTAGCACACAAGCCACAGCTCGCTGTAACCGCCGCACATACACATCTTTATACACTAACGACAAGACTAACTCAACAATTCCCCTCCCCACCCCCCCTTCCCCTTCTACCACTCTATCTATCTCTCTCTATCTGTCTTTTCCTTTTCTTTGCGGCATACAGGACCCACCTATGCCCAGTCTTCCCTAGCAGCCACTGCAACAGCCCAACAACAACAACAGCAGCAACTGCAGCGCGGCGAAAAATCGCTCGGCTTTTTCCCTTCATGGAAAACTCTGGCGCTCGCCTCGCTGGCAACGGCAACAGCTGCACGCGCCGCCGCTGCCAATGCGGATGATAAGCGCAGTGCGTATTATTTGCCGCCGCCACGCCTACTACTCGACGGCAACTCACAGGAGCAGGATGACAGCAACAGCAGCAACAACAGCAACAACAGCAACAACAACAACAACAACAGCAACAACAACAGCATGGATATAGATCTTAGCGTGAATACGTTTGGCGGCGCGAGCAACAGAAATGTTAGCAAACTGGCGCCCAGCGAGGACAACAGCGATGTCATCGATACCATTGAGAATGAGGTAGCGCGTGCGCACGATTTACTCGATTTGGAGCTATCCGGACACGGCTTTCGACGCAGCCCGGCCGCAGCGGCCGCCACATCCATGTCGCAACAGCATTTGGGCAACCTGTACGCCAGCATGCCGGCGGGCATACGTTCGGCAATTGTGGCCAGTGCGGCCATTGTGCTCACCTCGCTGGGCACATTCATGGTGATATTTGTGGTCTGCCGCTGGAAGCAGCATCGACGCCGCAAGACCAGCTACCTAAAGACCTACAATGCGATGAAGAGCAAATTGCCGCAATTGGCGCAAACGGCGAACGCATCGCGACGCTCCTCGCTGCGCCAGCACATGGAGGAGCTGGTGGTCAGCAGCAGCAACAGCAGCGATGGCTGCCACAAGCCAACCATTGCCACGGTCTCGTGCAGCACACCAGTGCATCAGCAGCAGCAGCAATCCCATCAGCTGCAGCGTCAGAGCTCGTTATTGTTTAGCCGCGAGGGCTGCTGTGCCAGTTCCCTGACCAAGGCGGCAACAGTTGCAGCTGCAGCAACAACAACAACTGGAGCAGCAGCAGCAACAACAACAACAACTGCCACTGCCACGGCAGCTGGGCGTGGCGTTGGCTCATTGGCCCTTACACTGCGCAGCACACACCAGAAACTCAATACCATGGATCCCAATTCGCCGGAGGTGCAGGAATATCTATTCGATACACTGCGCAAATCGTTCGATAATTAAGCGCTAGGCTCTAGATAAAACAGTTTAGATAACACAAACACACACACACACACACACACACACACACACACACACACACACACAGACACACACTCTCAGTACAGAGACAACACTAGACAACATGTAGTGGTATCGCTCCGTTTAGGCCAAGTTTTATATAAACTATAAATATACTTAAAAATATTATAAATATATATACACAGAAAATACGTTAGTTTATGTACTTAAGAGAAATGGAATTTTTTTTTTGTGTGTGGTTGCATTAGGACTAGAATTGAAAAATAGTTTGGGATCATATGACACTGTCCGACGAATTGCCGGCCGAAACGAAAGTAAAAGTGATAAGCGAAGCGAGAAGCGAAGCTTGGGGATGTAGTTGGCAAAGCGCGAAGCTTTACGAAAAGTATGGCAGGGCGTGTAGCGAGAAGCATAGTGAGAAGTGCAGCGTTAAGCTAAAAGAAAGAGGAAAGGCAAGCAGCGTAAAGCTAAATTAAGCGAGAAGCGTTGCGAAGAGCATAGTGAGAAGCGCAAAGTAAAGCATAGCTAAGGAAAGTCTGAAGCAAGGCACGAAACGTAAAGGAAAGTAAAGCGAGAAGCGTTGCTAAAAGCACAGTGAGAAGCACAGCGAGAAGCAAAGCTAAGTGAAGTAGTTAGCACAGCGGGAAGCGTTACTAAAGGAAAAGTAAGAAGTGTAGCGAGAAGCATTGCGAGAAACAATAAGCGTAAATGAGAGTTAAGCCAGAAGCCTTGCGAAATGCATACTGAGAAGCGAAGCGAGAAGAGATGAAAAGGAAATAAGGCATTAATATAAGAACTGTAAAGGAAAATTAAGCGTGAAGCGTTCCGGAAAGAATAGTGAGCAGCGATAAACAGATAAGCAAAAATAGAAGACCAATTGGTAAGGGCAGGAAGAAGCGCTTCGAAATCCGCTCTGTTAAGCGTAACGAAAGATAAGGCTAAATGCACAGAAGAGAAGTAAGAAGCGAAGATGCGGAGTGAGAAGCGAAGAAGAGAGAAAGCGAAGCTTAGAAGGAACTGTCAAAAACTGTGCAGAAAGGCCAGTAAGAAGTGCAGCGAGATGTGTAGCGAGAAGAAGTTTTGCTGCTCAACATACCTAAAAAATATTCAATATAAGGGAAGGGACACCACTAGCAAAACGCAGACAAAAGTGAAAGGAAAGTGAGAAGTCTTTTAACCATGCTGAACACTTAATTTTCTGGCAAAAGATAGGTGCGCAGCTTAAAATAAGTAAAGCAAGCGTTGCAAGAAATAAACCTTTTCCTTATTTATAATTAAAAAGTAATTTCTCTTTAGAGAGAGAAGCGTAAAATGACCCACGAAATGAACACGTAGTAAGAAGCTGTACTAAACTCTGAATTATCTAAGCTTATCCATTACGCCCACTTTAACATTAGCCAAACCGATTTACAGCTGAGACTTTCATTAAACACGAGCTCACAGAAAAGACCATAATTGAAGTGCAAGCTCAAAGGAAAAACTGATGAATTGTACTTGCTGAAAACTAATTGTTAGCTTCAAGTTATGCTCATAGCAACGAGACAATTTGTAGTGCAGTGTCATGTTGTCCTAAGGCGCATACTAAAACAAATAGTACTTAGCTCTAAAGCTCTAATTACAATACGAACTACAGCTGACCCAATGATCGGGCGTGTGGCACGTAATTTTAGAACTCTAACCCAAAAAAAAAAAAAAAAAAAAATTAATAATGTAAAAGTGAAACTAGAAAATGGAAACCTAAAAGCCAAGATAAGTGATTTAAAAAACTGCGTTTCAGGGGCACAAACAGAATTGCAAATGGGTTTCGGTAGCGCACCAAAAGAAATGCACTAGCGGAAACACACACACACACAAGTACAGTTGTGCTGAAATCATTTAGTGTGGTTATGTTGCACAAGTACAGTTGTGCTTTTAGTGAGGTTATGTTGCACAGAAAACAAAATGCGAACAAAAGACGAACATAAAAAAAATTTTTGAGGACAATAAATATTTAAAACGATGCGAATCAAAGTATACCAAATTTATTGCTTTGACATTCAAATGCAAATGTGGGCGTGTCAACCACAAAAACAACAACAAGAACAACAAAAGCTATAACTCAGTTCAGTGCACTCGGGAAACGAGAAATTTGCTCAAAAACGTTACGAATATCTAAAAAAATAAAATTTCCAAATTCCGATTATACGATTTCAATTTTTTTTTTTTGTGCCCACAATATACGAAGAATATAACTAAATACACATATACATAAGTATACATAAAAGATATATGCATATATACGTAAATTTAAGCATGTAAATAAGTTAAGATTTGTTTTTCTCTTTTTGTTAATTCTTTTTTTTTTGTGCAAAATAAAAGGTAGTAAAAAAAGTATGTAGAAAATTATGAAATATTATTTCAACGAGAAATTATGAATATCTTCGGCACGCCGAAGATTTAATACCCTTTCCTTTTTGCAGATATGTGAGAAAAGTAAAGCTCGTAAATGCGGAGTTTGATAAACATTTTCTTGAGAAAAGAATATTTTGCCACACAAGAACCTACTTTTCGACCGATCTTTCCAATGGCAAGATAAGATTTTGTATATATATGAGAATCATAATGGAACTAATAACTCCCGAGTTTGGTCAAGTTATGTTAATATATAAAAAATGGTTTCCATATCAGAGAAAACTTTGGGACGGATCGTTCCTATTGCAGCTATATGATTTAGTAGTCCGATGCTAATAATATTTGGCAAATAAGTAGAACGCATAGTGAAACTAATAAATGCCGAGTTTGGGAAAGATATCTTGATAAACAAAAAAGTTGTTTATAATAGAACTTAATTTTCGATATAGTGGATAGGACATATGTGCTGCCTGCAACCGAAAGACGGACCTATGCAAACTTTCAAGAGGATAGCTTTAAAACCGAGAGACTAGTTCGCATGGAAGCGGACAGACGGACAGACGGACTTGGCTATATCAACTCGGCTGTTGATGCTGATCTAGAATATACATATATACTTTATGGGGTCGGAGATGTCTCCTTCTGTAAGTTAAACTTTGCACGACAAAATTATAATACCTTCTACAAGGGCACTCAAATTGGTTAAGCAATTTTAGAGATCATTTTTGATTGGACACACGGCGAGCGTGCGTTTAAAAATAAAACCAGAAAAGCCGTTGATGGCACACCGAAACATGCGATACACTTACAGAATGTAAAAAAGGTAAATATAATTAATGGATCATTCAGAACTCGTAATCAGCACGAAATTAAATTATTACAGTCAACATTTTTAATGCATCCATATCCCAGACTACATTTTTAAAACTAATATAAAACCTCTTTTAAAGTTCAATTCAATTCAATGTATTAATAAACATTCTTTAATAATCATGCAGAAACACTGGAAGCATGATGGAACGCTGGTAAGAAACAGTTGTAATGCTGAAACGCTGGAAATGAAACGGACAAGCTACTGAAAGCAGCTTAAAAATATGTTCAATTCCATGCTTGAAACCTTGAAGTGAAACGTTTGCCAAAATGAAAGCACACAAAATGGAAAACGTTTTTGAAAAGTCAAGTACTTTTCCAATTGAATTAGCTCATTTCATAAGCCCAACCAGATGGTATTAAATGATCTTGAGCATTAGAACAAATCAAAGCCGATGTCTAAATACCCTTACAGACATATGTCTAACACTTTTGCTGAGTTTGACACGAGACACAAACAGATCGGGCTAGCCGTTGTTGCCTGTTGCAGGGTAGGTTTCATGAAGGGCAGGTTATATGGAGCACACACCCACACACACTTGCATGCACACATGCACACATGCACACACACTTGCATGCACACTTAGTGCACTTACCGATAGAGCTCGTAGCAGAGGCCGTACTCGGTAAAGAGATTTGCCATGCCGGCCATAACGCTGTCATCGGGCTGCATGTAGGCGCACTTGTACATGGAGGCGTAGATGCGTGCAATGACGCGACAATGACGCACGGCAGCGGAGCAGGCAGATGTGCCGCGCAAGCGCTGCATTTGCTCCACTGTAAAGTATAGCACGGTGTTGTAGCGCGTGGGCAGCGTATCGATGAAGGGCTGCCAGGTACTGGCGGCGCCGCGCACCTTCTCAATGATGAGCATATATGTGACATTCAGGTGGGTGGGAAAGTCGACAAAGAGCTTGCGTTGTGCCTCGGGCAACAGCTCCTCGGAAAAGATGAGCTGGCGCGGCACAGTGAGCACCTGCTCGCCCTCGGCCAGATCGCGGGTGGCGCGCAGACCTAGCTGATAGCCGGGAAATGTTGTAATTTCCACACAATCGCTTTGCACACCGCCCGCGCGCGCCCACTCATTAAAGGCGGCCACCTTGGCCAGGCGCGTCTGTTCATTTGCATTGGCGGCATCGTCTGCGGGGCAGACGGCCAGCTGCAGCGGCTTTTCGTGCTCCATCAGACGCTCCAGCAGTGGCTGCAGCTCTACGTACTGTTTCCATTCGTCGTTTGCATTGGCCGGCTGGATTTCTACCACATCCAATATCGCCTGTATGACCAAATTTATTGCCTTGCGTTTCTTATCTTTGAGGCTGGGTATGCGGTTGCTTTTGGCCGCCTCCGCGTTGTTTGTGGATGTTGCCGTTGTCCCCGCTGCCGTTGGCTGCTGAGCATTTTTGTGCTGTTGTTGTTGCTGTTGCTTGTTGCGTTTGTTTTTGCCCATTGTGAGTTATTTCACAATTAAATACGTTGAATGAATTACCGGTTAAAAGACGCCGCCGCGCAACAACACCAAAACAACAACCAAATAAGGGTAAAAATTGAATGCAGCTCTGGCAACACGTGCAATCGTACTAGCAACAGCTGTGCAAAACTAGTATGCTGCTCACGCTCTAATCGATACTCTTTTAGTATCGATACCGGTGCGAGATATATTGGCATTACAATTACTGCAAACAGAGCTTGCTTATTTTTTATTTCTCTGAGAAAGTGAGTGTAAGGTGCTTTTATTTTTCGTTTGCTTAAGACGTTGCCTCTGTCAGCATATATATATATATATATATATATATATATATATATATATTATCGTAAACAAATTTCTTATTCTCTTTACGTGAGATACTCAATTGAATACCTTAAACTTTTTTACTATAAAATCGTTTTATAACTTAGAGTTTTTAACAAACATTTATTGAAAATGTGTGCCAGTTAGAAATATATCGAAATTCTTCATATTCCGATTTTTTCTTAGAATTTGTTTCTTATTGTATTATGCATTAAATTACATATTATTAATATTATATAGCAGCAATATTACATTTGCTTGCTTGAAAAACAAAAACAATATATTATTTAATTCTTATTGGTAGCATAAGGTTCTTTTGTCACTGTGTCAAGTATATGTAATGAGCTGCATACTTGACTTGAATTCAACTGAGCGTGTGATAAGAAATTCGATAGTAATCGAAAACACAACACTGGTCCGCAGTCAACGTGCGACTAAAAATTCATTGGGCAAGTTCTTTAAAAAACGTGCTCCATAAATTGAACAGCGCTTTGTGACCCCGGTGCATAAGAAAACAAAGTTTTTTGTCTTATTTATTTTGTTTTAAGTAAAAAGAAAAGTCCAAATGGGCAAGAAGAAGCCAGAAGCGGCCAATAAAGCCGTCCAACCTCAAATGCCGGTTAAAAAACACCAAGTTCAAAAAGAGAATCAAAATCACAACGAACAGCAGAGCTCGCAGCCGCCGCGGACCAAAACTCAGAAAAAGCCCAAGGAAAAGGCAAAGCGACCGCAAAATGGCACAGTCGAGGAAATAAATAAAGTGCCGGCAAAGAAACGCAAACTCTCTGACAAGCAGAACGGCGACGGTGACCAAATCGAATCGGAGGACGGCGCCCAGGTCGAAAAGAAAGTGGACACCTCGAAAATAAACAAGGGCATTTTCGCCATTTTCAACAAGCTGCAGGACACCAACAAGCAGAACACACAAAAGCACGTCAACGAAATGATTGCGCTGCTCACCAACGAAGCCATCGCGGAAAAGGTATGTACAAGAGGAAATTTTCATCTAGGTTTTGGTGAAAATGTCCTTCTGGCAGTCTGAGTGCAACTTTTCAAGTCAACTCAATTTTTGGGGAAATAGCTGTAAATGTAAACGTAAATGTCCCATTAAAGGCTTTTTGCATTCACAACAAACACGACGGCAACACGCAGTCGCAGCCGCCGTTAGTCGAACAGCTGGTTTTTTACGCCGAGCGCAACTAATAAAACAGTTTTAATTTTAAAGACTTGCCAAATTAAAGTTGAATTAAGTTTAAGAATGCTGGCAAGCTTAATTCAAATATCAAATCAAATCAAAATCAAATAATAAAGAACAATCTTCTTGCCTTTATGACATTTAATTTCCTAACATTTTGAAAAACACAACCAGGGCAGAACGCCGCAAATAATGAATAAATATCAAAAAGAAATGTAGAGTTTTCTGAACGAAATGCAGCCCTGCGTCTTATTGCAGCTCTCTTTCTCTCTCACCTGTCAAATATCTACGCACACGTCAACAAAGTGAACCAGAGCAGAACTTTGAAAAATACTGCCAAAAGAGATGTAGACTTGTGTGAGCCAAATTCAACCCTGCGGCCACTATAAAAGCGCTCTCTCCTGTTTAAAATGATCTCAATTGTAGTACACACTTCGTGCAACATTTTGAGAGTTTGAGAGTCACTTCCATTAAGGAGGAAGAGAGAAGGAAATACATTAAAGGGTGTCACCGAAGTCGAGCTAAACTCTCACAGTAGAGATCGACAAGAAGTGAGGGGCACTGCGACCTTGAAATTAGGTTCCCATCAAGGATTTAGTGGATGGAGACCCAGGGTGTCCCTAGCAGGGGTCATTTAAAGGGGGAATATGCCCGGCCTCTAATATTTTCAACAAAAAATGATTAATTTTGATTTTTGCACAGCGCACCGCAACCTGCGCATATGCCTTAAAGCGTTTGGTACGCTGCACCGGCGCCGATGACAAGGAAGCTGTGGCCCTTAACTCCAGCTATATTAACAGCATACTGCGCGATGTGCCCGGCCTGGATCCGATCGAGCTGATCAACGTGCTGAAGCGCGAATTACACGCGAGCAGCCAGCAGAAGGGCAAGGAAGAGACACTGGCCGCTGTGGGCCAGCTCATAACAGTTTTAGCCATAATGCAAAGCCAATACTTCCAGCAGCCCAAGGCTGAGTTGATATCAGTCGTCTATCCCATATTGATAGCACAGCTAAAGGGACGCGAATATCTGGTATCCCTGTGTGCGGACATCATGGCTGATTCCTTTAAGCAGGTGCGTTTAATTGAGATATTTTCGCCTACTCTATAACAACTGGTTGCTTCTATTTTTGTTCTAGGTAAGCTTGGCCAATTTTCAATCTCATGTCTGGCCGCTGTTGCAGCCGGAGCTGAATAAACCGATTACGGCACAGAAGCTGCATGGCTGCGATCTGCTGCTGTCCGTGCATCTGAACTATCCCAAGCTGTTGCCGCTGCGTCAGCTGCAGACGATACTCTGGCGCAAGCAGACCCAATTCGAGCAGCTGTTTGACACATATTTAAATAATGCAACCATGCAGGGCGATGGCCTCTATGCGCGTCTGGGCAAATTTTTGGCCACCTGTTCCAGCGAACAGGTGCTGGCCGCCTGGCAGCAGCATGTCGCCGAACACTTGCCATTCAAGCATGTCACCGCCAAGAGCTACATCATTCAAACGTTGTCCCATGTGCTGATGCACTATGATGATAGCAGCCGCACGGATATGCAGTTGGAGCAGCTATTCACATTGGAGCCGCTCGTGAGCATGTTGCTCGCCGAACTGACGGCCGCCAAGAAACTGAACAGCAAGGCAAATGCGAAGGCAAAGGCTGCCCAGCGTCAGTTGCGTTATATATGCCGCAAATTTGAGACCGCGCTGCTCGTCAGCTTCCAGCAGCAGCTCAAGCAGGATGCCTGCAAGCTGGGCATACTGCGGCCCATGCTGCAGCTGCAACTGCAGCTGGACAACATTGTGCAGACGCCACGCTTCACGCAGCAGCTGCTCGCTCAGCTGGGCGAGCAGGGTCTGGAACAGATGTATGAGTTCTATAGCGAACAGTTTACCAGCAACAATGAGCTGTTGACGCGCACCAATCGCGAGCATTGCCTCAAGCAAATGCAACAGCTGCAGAACTCCAGGCGCAACAAGCAGCTGGAATTTTTGCTTTTCGCCTCGCTCTTCCATCTGGATGATCAACGGAAGCCATGCACGGCCGACGAGGCGGCCGTGTTCAGTCGTCAGGCAGCCTCACGTTGCGAGGAGACGCTATTCAGTTGCCTAGTGAATAAGATTGGCACCAACACCGAACAGCTGGTCGCGCTCAATGAGCAGCTGCGTCCGCTGCTCGGCCAGCTGGCCAAGAAGCTGACCAAACCGGGCATCGAGGGAAAGCTGCGCATTAAGGTGACACCCGAAATGCGTCTCATGTGGGAGAAGGTGCAAAAAGTGATGAACGCACCGGCCAAGGAGAAGCAGGCCCTGGCTGTTATCTTTGATGCGCTGATCATGTTCCTTGGCCTGGCCATGTTTACGCCCAGCTGCAATGTTGCCCTGGACCTGATCGATGATTTGTTCATTTGCAAGCAGAACGCGCTCAAGACAAAGCAGGGCAAGGATAAACAGCGCAAGTCTGCGGTAAGTGTTAAACGTGGCTGCTTAACAGCAACGGTTCATGTTAACAGTATTGCTTTAACAGCTACTTAACATAGAATTCTTCAGTGCTGTTAATTGAATTGACATTATGTTAAAGCTAGAACTGTTTTTGTATACTTAACAGCCAGTTAACATTATTCTGCTTTTACTTTACAGGCTGAACCGGAACCCAACTGGCAGGAGGTGCTCACAGATGTCCTGCTCCAATTGCTGCTGCAAACTGGACACTTCTGGCGTCTATTTGTGAATGCGATTGGCGGTGCGCTGATGCCGCATTTGAACAAAAGAAATCTGGAACAGTTTCTGGAATTGCTAGACATGGACAAGAATCCATTGGACGACAAAGTCTGGGACGTCAATGAGGGAGGTGACGATCAGGACGATGAAGATGACGCCACCAGCAATGATGAGGAGAGTGATGAAGCAGACACTGAGGATGACGATGCCGAAGATGTTGATAAGAGCGATGAGGAAGATGATGAGGATGATGCAGATGAAGACGATGATGATGAAGATGATGAGGACGATGAAGATGAAGATGAAGATGATGGGGATGAGGATGAGGATGATGAAGCCACCAACTTGGCGCGAATACGCGAGGGTGTACGCCAGGCCCTGCTAAGCAATGAAAATGATGACGTCGATTCCAGCAGTATAGACTGGAACGACGTTGGCGAGGAAGAGGGCGAACGTCTTAACCAAGCGCTGGAGCGCGCTTTCCACATCCGCAAGCCCAAGGGGGGCAAGGGCAAAAATGCCAAGCGCCAGACCAAATCGGAGCGCATCACCGACACCGCACTGCTGCACTTGCGCATACGTGTCCTGGATCTAGTCGAATTGTTCATCGGTGCACAGCCCCAGCTGGAGATCATATTGAACGCCCTGCTCAGCATCCAGAAGCTCTATAGGATTAGCAGCGCGGATTCCAAACTGCAGCCGCTGGCCGAGGCCAGCAAGAAGGCACTGCGCAAGCTGCTCGCCCAAAAGATAAGCTATCAGTCGCCCGATCAGGACAAGCAGCCAATTATCGATTGCATCAGGCAATTGCTGGAACAGGACGAGGCACAGCCGCCGCTTGTGGGCCCGCTCAGGCAGCCGCCGAAGGCCAAGGGTGATTATGTGGTGTGGCGCAACAAATGCATCGCCTATTTGGTCAGCCAATTCAATGAGCCGAATGTCACGGCCAGCGATGTGTGGCCGCTGTTGCAGAGCTTCGCCCAGGACTGGGCCAGTCGCCGCAATAGCCCCTATCAGTTGGCCACCTTTGATGCCATCTTCGGCTCGCCGTGGATCGGCATTGGACGCTATGCGGCCAGCTTTTATGCGCTATTATCGATGAACTTGCGTCTGTTCCGTCGCGTCCAAATCCTCGAACTGCTGCTCAAGCATTGCCGTCGCATTTGCAATACCCTTACGAATAAGCTGCAGACAACCCGAGAGTTCCACGGCATTCTCACCAAATATGAGCCGGTCGCCGACAAGGATCGCAGTCTGCAAAAGAAGCTGCTCGCACAGCTGCAAAAGGTGCTGACGGAAGCTGAAGATAGCGCATAGTCTTAAACCGGGGCACATTTCTTACATTGTATATTATTTTTATTTGTATTACATAATTTGGGCGGGTTTCAAATATCCGCAGGAGGGGCTTAAGCGGTTAAGTGTTCAAAGTTGGTCTACTGCGTGTCGCAGTAAACCAAGTGATAGAAAACAATAAAAAAAAAAAAAACATTGTCAACAAGCGGCTGACAAAATACCTTAAAGAACATTTCTTTCTACTAAACTAGTTTATATTTATACAGCATTTGCGAAGCAGGGCGAAATTGGAAACAGTCTCTTATGGATACCCCAACTTTTTGACCAGAGCTCCAAGCACTTTTTCATCCGCAGCGAATTAAACTGAGATAGCTGCATATTGTCCGACTCTTCACGCGACTCTCCATTAAGTGTGAAGGCACATGCCTCGGTGTCAATATATTGACAGACACTTGATCTGACGAAGAAAAGTTTATCCACTTGTCAAGCTAACATGAGTCTAACAACGAACTTATGTATTAACCGTCTGTCAAAGTTGATAGGCACTTGAGTTAGCATGAGTCTAGCAACGAACTTATTTGGTAATCGCTTGTCAAAATTGACAGGCACTTGACCTGATGACAAAAAGCGTAACTACTTGTCAAGTTAATATGAGTGTTGAGACAAATATATGTATATAAAAACAAGAAGCATTTATGAGAATTAATTTATATTGACTAAAATTTTTTTTTTAAATATTGCAGCACATATTGTTAACATTGAGCTCAATTCCAGCGCAAATGTTTGACTAAAACATATCGTAATTAGGAATAGGAATAAGGAAATAATAATACAGCTCGATAAGTACGAATTACCTGTCAAATGGCCGGAAAATAAACATTCTGCCGCAGCGTGCTCGTAACAAGAGGCACCATTTTCTGATCCTTATCGCCGCGCTTCTCGGTCACCTGCCCAATGGCAATGGTCAGAATGTCCAGCACATGTTCGCTGCAACAAACATAAATATGAGATTCGAATATAAAATAATTTACATAATATAAGAGAGTTGGGCAAAAAGGTTACATTTTCTCAGTATCTAGTTAACTGTTAACTGAGTGTTAAATATTTATCGATAGGATAGTTGCGAACATCTGATTGTCATTCAAGTTTGGCATTCTTATTGAGAAACTTGAATTTAAAATGAATATTTTAGAAATTTTAATAGACCAACTGCCAAATGTGGAGACTAGCTTAAAAACATTTGAAAATTTAAAATTTGATGTCTATTTTTACATTTCGAACCAGCAACCAGCCGTAGCTTTGATTCGTAAACCTAGTTTTTCAGTGGTTACGCTTTCGTGCTGAATCTTTCCCAAAAGTTTCTTATTATGATGTCAATTTTTGAATGAAATATGGTTCTTAGCAAGAACTAAATTGTAATTCAGGATTTGAACGTTTTGCAGTCTAGATGAAGGCAGATTTTGTGCACAGCGTTGCCAGCATATTTCAATGTGTGCTTTAACTGGCAGTTAGTGAAACTGACATTGAGATAATGCAACCCCTAGGCACAATTGACGTTCAGTTATTCGGATTGGGGATTGGCTTACCTGGCCGCATGCCGTTTAACCGTATCGCATAACGTCTGGATAAACCAGCTGCCCTGGACGCTGTGACGCAGCGCAACGAAGCGCGGCACTGTGGACATGGCCACCACCATGTTGGCATGCTGGCTGGGGGACTGCGTGGTGGCGTTCACATCGCGCTGGGAACAGAGATAGGCTTGAATTTTCACGTGGAGATGAATGCAATGTCACCTACCGTCTGCAGCTGTTTCTCGTTTTGCTGGCACGCCTGAATGATGAGCAGCTTGGGCTTGTCGTGCAGCTCCTCATTGTCACAGAGCACATTCTGTATGTCCGTGATGCTCAATGGAATGCTGTCGGCGCCGTAGACGGCGCCCTCGAACCCGTGCGACAAGATGCACACAATCAATGAATCGCGCAGAATCGAACGGGCACAGGCAGTCCGTATAAAGCCGATCAGCTCCAAATGGTCCACATTGTCGTGCGCATCCACACTGTAGCCCAGCTCCGAGAAGACTTCGATGAGCCGCTCTTTGTCCACGTCGGTGCCCTCGCGTGCAGTCAGCTTCACAGAGGGCAGCAGCGACTACAAATTGTACAAAACGACTTTTGCTAATTAATTGCAATTGATTTACAACATTTTAGTTGGCAATGTTTTTAATTATATTTGTACCTGGCATCGCAAATTGTTGCATTATTTGTTAAACATATTCTTCGCATTTGCGACGTTTGTGGCAGTTGTAAAATAGTTGATAAATTAATATGGTTTTTTTGCGGTTTACCTATCAATAAATGTTTACCAACCATTTTAAGCTGATTTTTGCTTTTTTTGCACTTGATATCGATAAACGTACGATCCGTTTACTCAAATTGGCCTAAGTTAATGTTGCAGAGCTGCCACCTGATGGAAAATCGTGCTGCCAGAGCTAGATGAAACGCGTTAATTAGGGAAAACATAAGCAAACGAACTAAAAAACAACAAAATGTACTAAATTTACCCTTTTTTTTTGGTAAAAATTTTTCCTAAATTATGCAGCTCAATAAACTACATAAAGTTACCTATTATATAATTTTGATTATGATCATTTAAAGTAGGCTAGCAAGGCTTTTAGCTTAGTTTAGCTTCCTTGTGTTTTAGGGTATTATAATATTAGCCAAAGGCAATCAATACTGGGGACTTGACATTTCAAATATATGTATATTCATGTTTGCCTTACGCAGCACGCGCTTATCTTATATTTATCGATAGCTACTCCCACATTTATATCGATAAATATCGATTCAGAGATATGGTTTTTAAGCGTTACTCGAAAATGATAACAGACAAATACCCTAAAATTGGTATTTAGGTTTTCGTATAGCATATACAGATCGGAAATATTTCATTTTTCTTATATCTCGATACAAATTCCCCAAAAACTCGGTTGTAAAGCCAAAGTCTTGCGATTTGGTATAGCCCTGAAAAGCTTCATAAGGATCGGACTACAAGCCATTAAAAAATGGCAAAGGGAAAAATAGGCAGAAGAAGGGCATCTACTAGTCGAGCATACCCGACTAGAGCACTCTTTGCTGGCTCTCGCTTTTGTAGCAGGTTTATCAAGAAATAGAAGAATGTCTACTCACGCGCAGCTCCTCGCTGACATTGCGATGAAATCTCTGTTGATTGATGATGAGCAAAATGCCGGCGTTGTTGCTTCGCACCTGCAGAGCATTGGCGCGTCGTTGTTGAACGATGCCATCCACTGGAGCAACAGCAGCAGTAGCAGGGGCAACACTAGCCGGTTCTGCCTTTGTGGGTTTGGTTTCCGATGCATCCGTTTCGCATTTGTCGACGGGATTGGAGCTGTTGATCGTCTGGACGAGCAGCGTGGCCAGGGAGTGCAGATCGTTGAACTTGAAGTACTCGATGAGCAGCTGCATATCGCTGCCCCTGGCATTGATGTCGCCCAGTCGCAGATGGTGGCGCGTCAGCCAGTCCAGCAGAAAGATCTCCAAATAGGCGTGATCATAGAAACGCAACGGATCGTCCGCATGCTGGCCGGTCTGCCGGCGCGCCAGCTGATCATTGATGTCCAGGACAAGGCGTCCGGTTTGCGCGATGGTCAGCTGCTCGCATATGTTGTACAAGGCCTTCAGCAGCGGATGCACATGCAGCGACACCTCCAGCACTTGCGGCAAATAGTGCAGGCGCAGCTCCTGCCAGTTGAAGCCCAGTTTGCGCAATGCCTGCCGCGCATTTATGATGCACATCGCCTCGACGAGATGGCCGCGCCAATTGTCCGGATTTGTGCGCGCATATTGCTGCAGGAGATCGCTCTGCCGCTGGTCCGCAGACCCCATCAGTGTCAGCAGCTTCTGCAATATGTATGTGGCCAGGGCGTGCTGATCGCCAAAGAGCAGGAACGCGAGCGAGACCTGTTCAAGGAAGAGATATGAGAACAAGCAAACATCAACGTTGGCTGCATTTACTTTTTGTGCAAAGTTCAGATCTCGCTCCAAATAGGGCAGATCATCCACATGCATATTGTCCAGCTGAGATTTCATGGCTTGCTCTGCTGCTTTGGCTGCTCGCGGGGAAGTCCAAAAAGTAACTGATCGTCGGGCGAATCGGTGTGCCCGCACATATATATGTGTATATAAACAGGCGCGGGCGCAGTGTGTCTTATAAAAAAGAATTATTTTGTTTGCGCTTTTGAAATTGTTATTAATTCATCGAGTGTAGAAATTTAATTAAAATGTTATCAAAAATTAAAATACAGCATGCGATCCCAATGTGACCTTTGGCTTAATAAATATATGTGACATCAGGTCACACCGTTTATCGATAGGCATTCATCGTTTTTGCTACCTATTTCAAAACAATTTGCCTTGACTTATAACTCAGACCGAAACGAAAGCAACTTGTGTGCTTTTATTACGAATTCATGTTCATTACTGTGTTACATGCATCGCAGCAGGACAATTTCTAAAAAAAAAAAATATAAAAATAAAAATATTTATTTATTTGTATTGAGGCAAAACAAATCATATCATTTACAAGCGCATTGATTATAAAGAGTGGTCTAAGCCTATGTCTAAGGTAAGATAAGAAATCTCCAATGCTGACCACCTCAACCCATTACCAAACTCAAGATAATTTCGCAAATACATTTAATATAAATATATACATTGGCATAGAATGTTATATTATTTTCTGTAATTGCGAAATTGTTTTCGCAACAACTCTGCTGCCTATCGAACAAATTCACCATGCACGGCCAGTGCTGCCAGAAGCGCGGACAGCGTTCAGCAGCGCTAAGTGCTTCACAACATATGAGCAATAGTGCAATCAAGATTTGATAGTTCCCGATAAATGTATATGGACATTTTTAAATATTAAAAGCACTTGCTTGTGGTTTGCATTGCCACAAGCGGTTGCAAAGTCTCGGCATACAAAAGTGGCGCTCAAACAGTGTTGCCAACTGCAGTAAGTGGACTCAGTCAGCACCTATTCACCACACACGCGCAACCAACCCTGGTTTATGTTCGAGGTGTACGGTTGCTATTTTCACAAATCATTCAAGTAGATATTGTTGAATTGTTAACAACGCTCATGTTGACGAGTTTTTAATTATTTAATGTATTTGTTATTCTGTCTATGAGCGAAACAGAGAGAAAGGGACAGACATATACAGAGGCCAGGGCCACAGTCAGAGAGAAAGAGAGCGACAGCTTGCATACTTGTACAAAAAACAAAAAAAAAAAAAAAAATAACCAAAATAACGAAACTAAGAAATTTTTATTTCTCATACATATATACCACATATATATACATATATGCATAGATAAATGTAATACGTACATATATGTGTGTGCGCACACATATTGCGCTACAGCCATATGTATATGTGTATGCCAGTATATGTATATACCTTCACATATTTTATATACATATGTATATGCATATCTATTCACCTACTGTACCACTTCATTATGTAAGCAGCGGGAACTGTACGACGCCAAGCAAGCAAAAGCAGAAAAAGAAAACGCTAAAGCAAAAAAAAAAAACCAAAAGGGAACCAGCAAACGACAAACCAAATATAACCAAGAAACAACGAAATTGAACAGAAATGTTATAAATCATTAATAACTGTAATTTGTAAATGTTCCGTAACCACAAACCACGCCCACGCTGAAACGTAAGAGAAATTGTTCCAAAAACAACAACCAACAAAAAACCAAAAAAAAAACATGCTAGCACAAAACTTTTCCAAATTTTGTTGCGACAAATCCTTGTTCGTTTTTGTTTGTTGCCAGCCACGCCCATTTCCCATTGAAAGCAGTAAATTGACGTTCAAAAGAGAGCAAAACGCAAACAGAAACCAACAAGGAATTGTTCTTTTTTTTTATAATTTCAAAGTAATTTGCCAACAACAAAGATGTCTTACGGGCCTACTCTGTGTCATGCGTATACATACGTATGTATGTATGTATGTATGCATGTTCACACACAACACACATGTACATGCATTTGTGCATGTGCATATTACAAGCTGAACAGCGGCCATTGCTGTAGCGTTCTTTTTTCGTTCGTGTGTCATGCGGGGCGTCGCATTACACACACACACACACATTCACACAATTTATATACATATTGACAAGCAGTAAAAACAAAAAACTTTCGCCCAGCGTGGCTCTGACAATTGTGGCAACTTGAACAGTTATAAAAGCTAACAACAACAACAGATACAACGAGTACAAAGTGCAATTTCATAACAAAACATAATTCATAATTGTTTGTACACATCAAATATGCATTTTGAACGTTTTAGCAAAATGCCTCACCACACGTACACAAACAAACACACACACACACACACTCGCCTGCACGCATATGGGTGTTTGGATGTGTGTCACGCATTTGCGTTCTATGCTCAATACATGCGCGCAAGCGAGACAACATGACAGGTCAGCCGGAATCGAGAGCGCGCCAGAGCGTTGCTTGTGTCTGTGTGTGTGAGTGTGTCTGCATGCGTGCGTGTGGCTGTGTTGATGGGCGCCAAAAGAATTTGGCAAAATAATGTATGTAAATTTTGTCTCTTTCTGCTGGCCAACAACAAATTGTGTTACACGTGCAATGTACATATTTATATTTACAAAACAGTTGTCCACAACGGCGTTGATCGAAAGCTCGCAACGCACATATTGCTATTTATTTAATTTAAACATTGTTTTTACATATACATACTGTACATATTATGTGCACGTATGTATTTGTTTATATATTCATATTTGCTTGTAAGGCCATCGCCACAGCAACAAGTGTCTACAAGTGTGTGTGTTGTGTGTGTGTGCGTAGGTCTAAGCATATTGTTGCTGGCAACATTTTGGGTGCGCTGCTTTTGCGTTTTAACAGCGTTATGTTATGTGCCCAGTAAATGGGTTGCCAAGCTACGTGTGTGGGCGTTCGCATACAAGCACACCTGTATGTGTGTGTGTGTGTGTGTGTGTGCGACAAAGCTTTTACTCTTGTGTTTGTAGCATAAGCACACATATTCACACAAACACACGTGTGTGTGTGTGTTATATATAGAGAATTGTTTGTTTTTGGTGTTTGTTTTTGCCTTACTATGGTTTGCCTACGAACCCCCCCACCACCCACTCAGCAACATGTTGCGTGCAAAACGGCCTGCAACATGTAACTATGCCGCACTGTGGTCGACAGTCGTTTGAATCTTTATGCATATGCGTCCAATATAATTTATGTACATGTACATATATATATATATATGACCCCCAAGACTTTTATTATTTTTGTTTTTTAGCTAATTCCCCGATACAAATCTCTTGCAGTATTTTTCGCTTGTTTTAAAACGGAAGCGCAATATGTCATCCGTTGTGGCCGGCGAAACGCCGCTAATTAATCTAGCCGAGGATCTCGAGGACGGCGAGATCGATGATGATGACGATGATGATGAGCAGCAGCAGCAACAGCAACAACAACAACAACAACAACAACAAATATTAAACCAAACACAACAACAACAACAACAGCAACTAAAGCCCACAGCCTTCAAAGCTGGCGGCTCCAATGATGAAGTCCAATTCGTGGGCATTGAGCGCCTGAACGAGAAGCAGCCGCTGCTGCACGACGATGACGTCATATTCCTGGGCATGGCCAGCGAATCGTCGACCGTCGGCGCGCCCACTAACAAATCTAAGAAACCGCGTCCACTCGAAGGTAAACAACAACAGCAACAACAGCAAAAAAATAATTATAATAAAACCAGCTGGCTTTTGACTCTCGCCTCTTTTAACCGCGCCCCACCCCCTTATCCAAAATGCACCCTCCTCCACCTACCCCCAACCCATACAGATGATCATGCGGTCAGCATTGAGAATGCCATTGCCAAGGCGCTCAAGAAGGGGGGCATTGAGCCGCCCATGCCCAAGATAAACAACAACAACAACGTAAACAGTGACGCCGACAGCGCTGCCAACGCCGCCGGCGACAGCGGCAGCGCTGCCATCAGCCTCGATGGCTGCCAAATTGGGGGACAGCAACAGCAGCAGCAGCAGCAGCTGCAGCCGCCAAGTCGCAGCAGCCGTCGACGCAAGCGCAAAAAGGAACGCGAACGCGAGCAAAAGAAAGACAAGGAGCATCAGGTAGGTCGTTGCCTTAACCTTATGCGAACCAACCCACCCAAAAAAAAAAACCCCCCCCCTCCCCCCATGACCCATGCGTCACGCCCTGCTAAGCAAGCGCAACGAATTCGCCTTTCGCCGCGCCAATGCAGCGAATTTCACGGCGAATTTAATGCTCCCAAAAAGCGCAGCAACCGTTTGTTGGCAGCTGCTCGCGAGTTGTTCGCCAGCTGGGAACGAAATCTGCTGCACAGGTGGGCCACACATAACCCCCCCCCCCCCCTCCACTGTCTAAAAACCACCCCCGCCAAGAATCCAATCTTGGCCTTTAACCCCGGCCAAAGTTGCTTTTATTTAAGGCTCGTTGCTTGGCTTTAAATTCAATTTTGAGTATTGAAGAAAAAGGGGTGAATACTTTTTGAGCATGTTCCCAGTTTTGTTTTCTCCATCGAAACAGTTGCCTTTCTCAAATGAATATTTAGTTGCATGTAAATACATTAATATTTATAATGAGCATCATCTTAATTTGCTATTTGTTTTATAAATAACATTATCAATATCATATTTATAAGTTTTTCTATGTTTATTTGGTAATTATATATTTTTTATTATTATTTGCTGATCATAATAATTAGATATAATAGCATTTTATTATTATATTTATTTATTTAAAGTCCATTCATGTATTCCCATCAGATCTCAGAGACTATAAGAGTTAGCTCCATTTAACTATAATTTAGTTAAGCTTGCTTAGCATTGAAAACCGATAAAAACTAATTTAAAAACATTAAGTTTGTTAAACGTTAACTAAAGGCCTTAATTCTATTAAGCTATAGAGTTTAAAGAACGTGGGGCTTATAAGCACCTGAGCTAGTTCTTAAGCACTTGCTTTTGCGCGTTTTACAGGGTATGCTGTAGTCGATGAGGCAAAGACAAGCTTACAAATTGTATATGAATTGTATTTGTAATGCCTCGGTTGATCTAATCGAAATACAGGGTATCTTTTAGTTAAGCTTGAACGAGCAGCTACAGACCAGCAATCGTTACAGGGTATCTACCAGTCGCCCAGTCAGCTGCACAAGTGCTTTGTAGATGGTGCATATTTAAACAACAGTTACAGGGTATTTTGATATAAGTCTATTACAGGGTATCTTCTATTTTAAGCCTGCTCATATCTCTTTACTAACCAGCTCAACAGGGTACACGTTGCATGCAGGGTATCTACCAGTCGCGCAGCCAATTGCAGCTTTGTAGATAGTGCATATATACAGGGTATCTTAACCTCTCTTAACTGGTACAATTTTGATATAGATTTACAGGATATCCTTTACTTTAAGCCTGTTCATATCTCTACCAAGCATCTTAGCAGGGCATATGTTGCATGCAGGGTATCTCCTATTCGCGCCTTCAAGCTGCATGTTTACATTTTGTTATTGACTTTTTATTCCGCTCTCTCGTTTGCCAGAAACGCGCACGTCGCGACTCCATGGACGATGTGGCCGGCGCCGCCGGCAGCGATGAGCTGGAAATGGATGAGTACGAGATGATGAATGTGCGCGGCGGCAGTCCGCCGCCGCCAGGTGCCGCCACGAGCAGTGTGGCCGCACGCTATGCGGGCGACTGGCCGGGCATGGGCGACGACGCCGGCCACGAGTCGCCGCCGGACAACTACAGCAGCTACGATTCCTACTCGGACGACGAGCCCGGCAGCGCGGCGGTCGGCGCCGCCCAGCGGCGACGCCAGCGACGCGAGCGCGAAAAGGACACGCGCGGCGGACGCAAGCGTCGCGACCGGGACAGAGAACGCGATCGTGATCGCGACCTGGACAGACGTCACGATGGCGGCGGCGGCGGCGGTGCGGGCGGCGGAGGCGGAGGCGGCGTCGGTGGCAGCGGCAACAAGCGCAATCGACGGGACTCCGGCGACGAGAAGCCGCGCGAGCCACGCAAACTGGAGCTGTGCAAGTTCTATCTGAAGGATTGCTGCGCCAAGCGCGACAAGTGCAGCTACATGCACAAGGAGTTCCCGTGCAAATACTATTACCTGGGCATGGACTGCTATGCCGGCGACGACTGCCTCTTCCATCACGGCGAGCCGCTCACCGAGCAGCTGCGCAACATACTCCTCAAGCACATGGAGACGGCGCCCAAAGAGATTCTGGGCGACTTTAAGCGCATCTCCCGCGACATTGCGCTCAACCAGATGACACGCCGCCACGAGCAGCTGTGCGAACAGTTCAACATGGACAATGCCTGGACAACGCTGGCCAGCGCGGGGATTAGCCGACTGCAGGATCAGCAGCATGCGGCTGCAAAGGCGGCCGCTCAGGCCAATCAGGCGGCAGCCATTGCGGCGGTCAATGCCAATCTGCAGCAGGCGGCGAGCACGGGCGCGGGCGCTGCAGCGGCTGGGGCCGGGATCAATATACCCTCGCTGCTGGACATGGTCATCAATCCGCCCATTAATCTGCATCATGGCGATGCCAAGCCCGAGAAGAAGCGCAAATCGCGCTGGGCCGAAAAGGGCGCCACGAAAGGTGCGGCTGGCAATACAGCGGCTGGAGCAGCATCCTCGCCAACTGGCCCAGCTGGAGCTGCTGCCAATGCCATCGTCACGAATCCCGCCACAGTTACCGGCAGCAGTGCGTCGCCAGGTGTTGGCGCTGCGGCCAAGCCGCTGCCCGCGCACTTGGATCTGGTGAATCTGACGCAGGTGCTCAGCGCCGAGCACATGGCCAAGCTGAACAAGCTGGGCATTAGCAATCTGGAGCAGATGCTGCAGGTGCCCTTCGGCCAGCTGACCGAGGCGGGCCTCACGCTGCCCGAAATTGGCGAGATCCAGCGCAAGGCCGAGGAGGCCAAGCCCCATGAGCCGGGTGCCCAAGTCCCGGCCAGCACCACAGCAGACACCCCCGCCACAGCCAAGTAGGCAGCTCTGACATTCCATTTAACTTCCTATCTTTTATTCACACTCGATTGCATTCGCAGGAGCACTGCCAAGTCGGATCAGGAGACGAGCAACTTGAGCACCGTCGTCAGCTCCAATAGCAACAGCAACAGCAATAACGGCTTCATCATGGTCGACTACACGCAGTATCTGAAGGATGCACATGTCAACTTTCCCGGCAGCGATCCGCGTAAGTAAAGTCTCTACACAAATATCCTTCTAGAGGATCCCACAAGCAGCTGGTATATGCCAGAAGAGTGGCCATTTTTGTGCCTTACAATCAATCAGATCTCACCTAACATAAGCAGATCCTATCTATAACTGTTTCCATATGATGGAGTTAGATCTCAGATCCATATAAATGGATCTCACTTAACATAAACAGATCCTATCTATAACAGTTTCCATAGAGAAATACACTATCACACTCTCTCTCTCTCTATATATATATATAATCGGATATTATATCCCATAGTTCTTATATAAATAAATGTCACTCTACATGATCAGATCCCATACCCCACAGCTCCCATATAAATGTATAAAGGATATTCCTAGTATATGGCATATATATTATAAAAGTAGGCATTTCTGTCTCCCAAAATTATATACATAGATCGTTATATACTTCATAAAATCTTATACCGAAGATCTATCTTGATATAATCAGATCCCATATCCCACAGCTCTCATATAAATAGACTTATAAAGGATATTACAATTATGCCATTTAAGCATAGGAGTAGGCATTTCCGTTCCCCGTAGATATTAACATAATTTGATCCCATATTCTACAATTTCTATTCTTATAAATATAACAAATTATGGAAGAAACCATTAAACTAGACATTTATAATCTTCTGCGTATACTTTCCCATATTACTCGACTACCTAAAGTAAATGGAATCAAAGATCCTATTTTTAATTTCGTTTATATATTATAAATATCAAATCAACATTTACCCTCTAAATTATACACTTTAATAATTCCCATGGTCTTCTTCAGAAAGATTGGCTAAATCAGTATAATCAGATCCTACACAGATCCACATATTTCTCATAGTATTATTTAACAGCCCGATCAGCCAAACGCGAATTTATTCATAAAATCATCCAATTATCATAAAAACTCAATTTCTTGAAATCTATTTAACGGTCACTGTTAAGTGCAATGCTAACAGTTACATGTTAACATAGTTAGCATGTTACATAGACAAACCCTAAAGAGTTGAAGCATTTATTTTATTTGCTAATTTAAATTTTAGACCTCGCTTATATTATACAATCTATGAAAGCCAGTTAACAGCGCGCTGTTAAGTGTTATGTTAACTTAAATTGAAATGTTAAAAAGCAAGGTGTAAAAGCAACACCTATAAAGCTGTCGCAGATACTCATATCTTTACCTTTGCATATTTACTCAACGAAGCCTTGCAATTCAGTTAACAGCGCGTACCTTGATAGGCAGTTAACAGCGCTCTGTTAAACTGAATGTTAATCAAAAATAATAACTGTTGATTAGAGATATATATAGCCCAGAGGGTTTAATCAGTTCTAGTTTTGATACTGTAAATTCTTATCTTTAAATATTTCTTCAAAGTAATAAATGAAATTAGTTTAACAGCGCGCTGTTAAACTGAATGTTAACTAACATTTACATTGCTAGTCGCATCGAATTAAAGCTATATATAGGGATGGCTGCTGAAGAACTATAGGGTATATACTTTCCTATTCTGTATATTTTTTTTTCGAAATATTTGAACGTGCTCTGTTAAACTGTATGTTAACTAACATTAACATTGCTATTAGTATCTCAGTTATTGGTATATATACCCCTTAGACTTAAATTAGTTACTGTTTTTATGTGTAGATTATCTTTGAATATTTCGAAACAGTATAAAATAAGTTAACAGTGCGCTGTTAAACGCTATGGTAACTGACACATTGTTAGAAGTAGCTCAAATATGGGTATATATACTCTATAAGGTTGAAGCATTTTTTATTTTGCTGTATATTGTTATCTTAACATACTTTTTTTGCATCATTTTTGATATTCAAAATATTGATTCGTTTACGTTAACAGCACGCTGTTAAACTGTATGTTAACTAACATATGAAATGCTGTTAGTGTCAGCCTAGGAGAATTATGTCCCATGGGTTTGAAGTAGTTACTTTATTGCTATTGTTTTTATCGACACTTCGAAAAAATCGCTGCAAACAAGTTAACAGCGCAATGTTAAACTGTATGTTAATGAACATAAACATTGCAATTAGTCTCTTAGCTATAGGTATTATCTGCTCTAGAGTTAAAGCAATTATTCTTTTTTGTTGTAAATTATCTTTGGACATTCTCCGAAATTATCTATGCAATGCAGTTAACAGCGCAATGTTAAACTGCATGTTAGCTAACAGTCTGTTGGGCTAACCCGAAAGGGTTGTTTGCTTTGGAAATAATTCCTTATCTAAACTGGTATTGCATTTACAGTGGACGATGATCGCGAGGAGGATGAGGAGCAGCTGGTCATCGATGATGGCAACGACGAGGACGAGGAGGACTCCGAATCGGATGTCAAGTCAAAGAAAACGAAACGTTCCAGTGAGGAGGAGGAGAAGGACAAGGACAAAGACAAAGACAAAGAGAAAAAGCCGCCGTCCGAATTGGAGGATGATACGCCGCCAAGGCCGTCCGTATTTGATTTGCCCACCTTTATGAGCAACATGCTCGGCCAAAAGCCGGCAGCTGCGGCTGCTTCCGCGGCCGCGCCCGCGCCCGCTGGCTCATCCCCAACGACACCGGAGCCGCACAGCGAGAGCAGCCCGCCAACGTCGGCGGGCAAGAACAGCAGCGGACCCTTCGGCAAGCTGCTCTTCGGCGAGCAGAAGGAGCCGGAAATGCGGGCCTCCTTCTATCGGGACATCATACGCAATCCCTTCAAGCCGAACAGCGGCGATGGCCAAGGCGATGACAGCGACAATGACAACGACAACGACAATGTCAAGGATAACGACTTCAGCAGCTTCAGCTACATGGACGCCGCCCAGTGCTCGAATTCCAATTCCCGTTCGCTGACGCCGACACCGACGCCCGAGCCGGGCTCCCAATCGCCCAAGGGCCTGGGCGGCGGCGGTGAACAGTCGACGCCGGCAACGGGAGCTGGACAACTGCCCGCCGCCTCGATATATACGCGCCACTCCATGTACGACTACGATCCGGCGAAGGCAGCGCTCGAGGATGCACGGGCGAGCGCCGCGAAACGCGAACGGGATCGCGATATTGATATGCGTCTGCCGTTCGAGCCGATGAAACACTATTTGCCCGCCACCGAGATCGATGCGGCGATCTTCTCGCACATACCGATACGCTGGCAAATGCAGGAGGTGCTCGTCGAGCCGGCCTGCTATGCACAGCTGCGCCAGAGCGCCAGCCACAAGGAGCAGCGCGAGCTGCGCGATCCCCGACTGCGTCGCATACTCGGCCTGCCCGAGCTCTCCGACGACAACACGGCCACGGGCAGCGGCACCGCCTCCGGCCTGGGCAGCGGCATCGGATCCGGTGCGTATGCGACAGAGGGACGTGAGCGCAAGACGAGCAACTGCATCGCCTCGCCGGACGCACAGATGGCGGACTCAACGCCCAGTTCACCGCCGCCATCGTCGGCAGGGACTGCTGTGCCGCCGCCTTTGGCCGAGCCGCTGGCCAGTGCACCAGCTGCCGCCGGCGGAGATCCGCGTCGGGCCGATCCGCGTCGTGATCCGCGACGCGCGCATTTAAATGTAACCAGCTCCAGCAACAGCAACAACAGCGGCAACGTTTCGGGGGGCGTGGCCGCTGTCAATGACAGCAGCCGGCAAATCTCCGAGATACGCAATCTGCTGCAGAGCTCGAACTGGTACAAGAACCTGGGCAGCAACAACAAGATCATGGTCAATCAGCAGCTGGCGCTGGTCTTCACCGAACTGAAGAAGTTCCATCAGCAGGAATCGCCGAACAAGATCTTCGACGTGAACTTCATAGTCAGCAATCAGACGCTCCAGCAGATCTTTGCCAAGCTGCACATCTATATCGATGACAACGGCCTCGTCGTACAGCTGCCCGAGGAGCCGCCCCAGAATGTTGGGGGCGGGCCCGTTGGGGTGGCCAACATGCCGCCCATATTGCCGAACATGTCGCAGCCGCCGCCGAATTTGGTGCAAATGCTGCGGCAACCGCCGCCAAATGTCGGCCGGATGATGCCCATGGGCATGGGCGGCATGCCGCCCTTTAATCAACCGCCCCCGCAGCGCTCCAACAGCATACTGGGCATGCCGCCCAATGTGCCCAACGTGATGAGCGTGATGAACAGCAATCCGTTCAATCCGTTTGCCGGCGGCAACAATCTGAACAATCTGAACAACCTGAATACCCTAAACAATCTGAACAATCTGAACAATCTGAATAACCTCAACAATCTGAACAATATGAATAACTTGAATAACATGAACATGAACGGCATGAACAATATGAATGGCATGAACATGAACAATTTGGGCGTCGCGTTCAATGGCGGCGGCGGCGGCGGTGGACCCGGACCCGGACCTGGACTTGGACCTGGACCTGGACCTGGACCCGGACCTGGACCCTTCAAGAACTTCGGACCAGGTGGCAACAATGGCAATCAGGGGCGCCATTATGTTGGCAATCGCAATCGCGGCGGCGGCGGCGGCCATCGAAATCGCAATAATTAATTACAAGAAGAAAAGCAATTACTGGGCAAAAAAAAAGAAAAGAAAAATAGAAGGAAAAGTGAAGAGATGCAACAATTTAATGAAATGTATGCGCGCCCGCCCCTCAACCCCGCCCTTTACTGAAAAGACTTGTAGCATTATGTTTATGATTATAAATGACCGCCCCCCCCCCCCCCCCCTTCGCCACAGAGAAAATGCAAACCTCCCTCCCCCCCCACACACACACACACACACACACATACACACTCTCTCGCACGCACGCAAACACACACAAGCACACTTAAAGAAATGAAAGCAAATGTTACATTTGTATAGCTTTATCGGTTTTTGCTATTTTAGCTTCTAAAAAAAATCGGATTTGGACTGCTATGTAACTGTAAATTATAACTATAAAATAATTTGTTTTTTTTTTTTTTAACTCTAGATTATATATACATATATATATATATATATTTAATATATTTAATATATATAAAGACTTTTTTTTTTGTTGATTAAGTATACTCCTAAATATATATATATATATGTGTGCGAAGATACATATTTATATACATATATATATGCTACGTACTGATACAAAATGTAGTCGTAACTGGAACTCAAAAACATTTATTTTTTAGTCGTTAATGATTGTAAATTAAGTCGTAATCGTAGTATTCGAAATTTTTGTAGACATATGAAATAAACGGCAAGTTTTAAGTATTATTAACATATAGAGTCTGAAGACTGCCCGTACTCGATGTAATTATTCAATATACTCTTTCATTTTTCAAAATATTTGTAAGCTTGCGCTGTCCGCTTAAAGATCAGTGTTAACATGTGTTCAAATGTTGACAGTCTGGTAGCTCTTTAATTGGTTTAACACTGCGTTAACAGCAGCCATACAGCGCGTCTATAGACTGTATGTTGGTTTCATCGAGTAATTAAATTAATAAAAATCGTTGTTTCTTAATGTTTGTACTTTTGGCCTCTCAAAATATACTTAGTGCGCGTTTTTGTTAAAAATCAAGCAAGCGAGAGTACAAAAGCGCACTTTGCTCTGCAAAGCCTTACAAAAGCTATCGATAATTAACAGCCCCAATTGAGCTTAACATTGTGGAGTGTGACCGTCTTGCATATACAACTGAGGCATTGTAGTCGCTATGTTTTTTTGCCCATGCTCGAGTCGGTCACGCTTTCAGTATCATTTTGTCGGCTGTGAACTGTGAAGGAAATTTGTAGCGCCGCGCGCAGTGCATTTTTTCTGGTAACCTTTTTTTTCTCCACTTTGTACTGTTTTTTCTTTATTTTTTTTTTTGCAATAATATACACAATGCAATATTTTCGTATGCGTTTAATCGTCTAATCGACTGGCAAGACAAGAAAGACATTTACGTGCAATCAAAGAAGAAAGCTTACCTAAAAAAAAAAAACAATATAATATACATACACACACGTATGCAGACACATGCGTGTGCATATACATACATATTGTACGTATGTATGTACTAGGGCCCACAATGGGTTTTAGCGTGACGTGAAGTGTATATAAAGAAGCTGAAAAAAAAAAGAAATGAATCGACGAAAAGAGAAAATGGAAAATGAAAACACGCAGACATTGTGAAATATACGCAAAACAAATATTGCATTTAAATTATGTTTTTTGAGTAATCGATCATTCAAAAATACATGCGTAGTTAATTGCATTCCATATAGTACAACAAAAAGCTTCAATTTTTTATTTTATTTATTTTTTTTTTATTGTATTACATACACATCATTTACTACGTATGCATGTGTATGTGTGTGTGTGTCGGCGAGAAGGCAACGAGTAGCAGGGCAGCATTTTTGAGTAACTGTAGCAGTTACTCGCTGTTTTGTTTTTCTTGTTTTTTTCCACCGTTGTTGTTTGTTGGTGTTAAAACGGGCTAGAAATGCGAATTAAACGTAATTCAGAATAAAACGAAGTGCATTAAAAGTGCAACAAAGTGATGTTTACTATAAAACAGCATATGCATTTGTTTTTGTGTGCTACATACACATAAAACAAACGAGCTCTGTTACAGTGCGTACGAAAAGTGTTTATCGCATTTTTCATTTGCCAACAAAATTGTTAAGCTTGCTAAGTAAAATTCTCAAAATATATATATGTGTACGTATATATAATGATTATGCACATTTCTAGAGCAGTCAGCATAATTCTGTAGTGTACTGTAGAGTATAGCAGAAGACGAACAGCAGCAAAGCAAAAATGGCAACGAGCCGCTGAAAACGTACGCGCGCACTCAACCACACACATAGCACATAAACACACATACACATTCACAACGTCCTCGTTCACTGAGGCCGCCGCCACTCGCTGTTAGCGTCGATGACGAATGCGTGTGAGTGAACGAAGCGCGTTTGTGCTTGTGTGCGTCGTGTATTTATGTGCCTGTGTGTGTGTGTATGTCTGCGCTGTTGGCTCTGCTAAGCGTACCGCCCCCTGCCCCTTGCTGTCAAGCCAACAACATGGTGGCTTTGCAGCGTTTTTTTTTTCTATTCATGCTGTTGGCTTTTTTTTTTTTATTTATTTTCCGTTAGCATCAAATGAGTGTTCTTTTTTTTTCGAAGCAACAACAACAAACAACAACAATAACCATAGTAAAGAGTAAGCGGTAAACAGCAAGCATATTACAGTAAGTTCATCAGAATATTCACAACATTTTACACAGCGTATGTGCATTAATATATATGTATACATCTATGCTTATGTATTTGTATGAGTGCACATATGTATTTTTGTTCTTTCGGTTGTATACATAACACTGGCAACGTGGGTAAATCGAATTGCCGTCTGTTGTTTTTATTTTCTTCTTTTTCCTATAAACTACCATTTTGCCTTTGCTACGAAACGATTAGGGGAAAGGGAACAGCAAACACTTGCAAGCTGCTGAGAAAACAACAACAAAGCGCGTGCATACAGTCGCGTCCAGTTAAATGTTGCCATTTATGCGCGCGCTGCTAAGCATACACACGGCAAGCTTTGCCGCGCAGAGTGTGTACACACTGATTTCCATTGGCTACGCTGCAAACTGCGAAAAGTAGAGACTTGCATATACATATATATGTATATGTATGTGTGCGTGTGTGCATGTCACGTTTGCGCCGTTTCTTGTCGGGCTGTTTCGGCTACCTAAACTAACTGAACCTTTTTACATGTCCTGTGTCTCTCCGTTTCCGGTTAGCAATCTTTCTTTTTGCTTAACTGTTTGTCGCTGCAGCAATTCAATGCTGCCAGATTGTTCTACTGCAAGCAAAAAATAAATAGTAAATAGAAATTTTGAAAACTGCAAATTTTAACACAAATTTTCTATTGCCGGCATCACTTGTCAGGCATTGCACTGTAACGGAGCAGCTGTTGTGTCGAATGTGTTTTGAATTCATGCGATAAGATAACAAATCATTTTATGTGCATGCAATTTGTTGTTTATTTATTGTTTTGTACACAATAACAATTACAATAATTGCTGGAAAAACAACAACAACAACAAAATGTTGTTACAAAATGCTGGCAACGTTTATTTTAGGGGTCTGTAACGTCAGGACTTCGCTCTCGAGCTTAACGGTTCCCGCTCTAGTTAAACGCTATACACACACACAGAGAGACATTTTCTACAGCTCGATCGATTCGCTTAGTGTATCATAAAACTTGGCACGCTGCTGTTTAATACAAACAATATTAACCGGCACACGCGCGCCCGATTTAATTGCGCTGGATTTATCTCGATTTTATGGCCATTTTTCCATTGAAGAAAAGGTGCATTTGTGTGCCTGTGTGTGTAAGCTCCTCATCTCTCTTATTTTTTGCTCTGCAGGTAGTCGCGGCAGCCTTCGTGCATGCTGCACTCACTCAAATTTTTTTTTGTCTCCTGTTCGAATTGCCGTTGCCGTCGTCATTCCCATGCAGCTGCCGAAGAGAGAGAGAGAGAGTGAGCAGAGAGTAGGCAAACGCTTTTGTGACAGCTGCCGCATTCTCCATAGTTTTTTGTTGTTACTTCGCTTTGCGCATTTCATGTCTCCATTTCGGCTCCCACTTCCTGTGACGTTGGCCATTCGCCTCTATAAGAGCAACGATCGAAGAGCGATAAATGTGCGAGTACCTGACTTACTCGCTGCATGTGCTCGCGATCGGGTAGGGGAGTGGAGGCAGTGGGGCTTGACCAGTTGAAAGTGCAACAACATGTGCTCATATATAACTCAAATGTGCATATGTATGCACATGTATACTTGTGTGTGTACATGCATACATTCAATCAGCTGGAATGCCGGCCTTGCCGTATGCCATCTCCGTCTCTTCCTCAATTCGTTTTGTTTTTGTCGATCACGTCTGGCAACTCTGCGCTGGTTTTTCATTCATTTTGGCTGTGGTTTTTTCCCCCCTGTAATTTACGCTCACAGCTGAGCGGCTGTAATAACTGCTGTGTGCGTGCGCTCTTTCTGTGCGCTCGCTCTTGTTCCTTGACAAAGTTTTGCGTTTTGCCGCTATCAGCAGCAGTTGCGCACACACATACGCATGAATTTGTATATATGTACATACATATAAATGCATGCACGCATTTGCATTTCGATCCGCTCGATTACTGTTCAAAGCTCATGCAATGTCTTTTGTTACACCCTTGCCGTTGGTAGTATATATGTATTATGTCATGCAATGCGTAACGCATACAATGTGGACATAGGGAATACATGTGTATATATTTTGGATCACAATAGGCTAATGTATATATATACATTTACAAATTTTGTATAGATAAACCCTTTTCTAAAATTATATCACTCCGTTGTCTATGCTCATACGGTTTATAAAATAATAAATTCCATATCTGTAAGAGTAGTCAATGCTCGAGACGATATTGTTGCTTGCTCTTGCATTTTTTGCGCTAGGCAAGATCTGGTGTTCGCTCTCGCTCTGGCTTATGGCGTATTGGCCTGAGTTGCTCTCTTCGACGCCGTCGAACGCGCTGTTGGCGTGTGACTTTCTTTTTTTGTTTTGATTTTAGCCTTGTTTGCTTTCACCGTAAATTCACGATGTTTTACATATGTATCTACATGATATACTTCTTGCTCTGCTTCTTCTTATTCTTATTCTTTTTGCGAGCTAAAACAGTTTGGTTCTTTAAGCGTTCTCCCATTTTCGTCTGTTTCGCTCGCAGCAACAGCAACAACAACAACAGTAACAGTAACAGCTCTCCCTTCTACAGTGCTCGCCAATTGTTTTTGTACGGGTTTTTGCTTTTCACCATTTCCTCCTCTTTTCGGCTATGTATGCCCTTTTGAACGCGTAGCTCTTATGTACCATGTATTTTTGAGTATATTGTGCCGTTATATACGCCAGTATATCTGTGTGTGCGTGTGTGTATGTGGGTTTTTGAGCATTACATACACATACAGTGGCACTTGCCTATTCGTTTGCAACCCCGCCAACCCCCCCTAAGCAACCCCCTGCGCCACCTTTAGGGCGTTTACGCAGCAACGCATTTATAGTCCGGCCAATGGTGCGGGGGGTGGCTGCGTTGGCCTGTCCTCAATTTCGGCTTAACTGTGTCCATGTTCTGTATTTTTTTCTCATTTATTTTCTTTTTTCTTTCTTTTGGAGTGGAACATGCGCCGAAGAACTAACCCCCACTCGTTACAATTGCAATTTGCGTTGTCTTTGGCTGGAACCTTATATCTGCGTATACCCTGCGAGTAATATTTGGCTTAGGGACATTTTTAAAAAAATTCCTTTCATTGGGTTAAGACTGTGCATTCTTGAGTATATTGGATATAAATAAGTATTTAAATAAAGATTCGTACGTTTAGCTGAAAATTAACAACTCCAAATTGTAATGAATTTCCCTTTCGAAAAGCTGATTTAATATAATAAACTCTATTATTACAGACTCTATAGTCGAACATTATTCGGTCTTCTACAGTTTATTTATTAGAGAGGGACTAATAGCGTCTGTATAACTTTATAAAATATTAAACTATGCCAAATGTGGACTAGACATTTGGTTTAGTTCAATAGACCTATGTACATAATACTATAATAGTAAAGAATGCTCTATAATTTATATTAATAATATAACAAAGTACAAATAAGTGCGCCTTACACTCAACTATAGAACTCTATTGAATGTATAAAATGCAAATAATATTAATAGTATTACCATAATACCACGCGCTGCTATTCAATATATTCGAATAAATATTTCAAAAATTTACGAGGATCAATTGTGACTTTATCTCAATCCACGTGAGAATGCAGCTGCCTGGAAAGCAGGTGATATTCGAGCTGTCATTAGCTGAGCTTGTTGGAAAATGTCAGCTCTGAATACCAGGAAAACGTTTCCAGGCCTGGACCCCAGGACGAAGGCAATTTCGAAATGTGCAAAACTAATGCATATTATTTTTCGGGGGGGAATAAAAGTGACGAAGTTTAATTGAATTGAAATTGAAATATTATGCTGATTTTTCGAAAATTATTGTTATTCAGAATTTAGTAAAGGGAAAGCCTGGAACTTAAAATAAAATAACTGTATACAGTTCGCCAAAAAAAAATCAATATACAATAAATAAATGTTTATTTCTTTGATTGAAGTCACTTTTGAAAACGAATCGATTCATATTGCGAGGGATATCTGAATTAATATATATAATATACTATAAAATAATATATAATATATATTATATTATCATATAATTATAAGAATAATAAGTTCTACAGACATATATAGAAATCGCATAATATGGCCTGAACTATAGATAGATAAAGATTAGATAATATATGAAATATTTTTGCGTTTTTTTTTTAATCACAGCCACAAAAATATTATACATTGATTCCTTAATCGGGATTTCTCTCTAACCTTTTACGTTTATCCAAATAAAAGATTTTGAAGAGTTTTCGTTATTAAACTTTCTTCCTGATTAAATTGAACGACCTTTTTAATATGTTCAATAGATGTTTCAAATCTCTTTTATCGACAGTCCTTACACCTGGTGATATATAGAATATATTTTGTATATATTTAACTCATTTTTTAATATATATACTTCCACATATCGCATCGATATGATTATTTACTCATAAATATCTATTTACTCTTATGATATATGATTCATATATCAAATTTGTGAAGCAAAGTTTCTCAAAATGTCAAATATATCTCGAACTAATCTATCCCAAATTGGCCTTATCAAGATCTATATACTTTTATCGGAATCCTAGATCTTTGTGGTATACATATGATATATGTTCCCATATACCTAACGTATTTCTAGTCGATTTGATTAGTTTCTCGTAAATTAATGTATGGATTCCTCATTTATATGACAAATGATAATATTTTATCAAATTTTTGAAACAAAGTTTGTCATATATCTCGAATCTAATATATTTCAAATCGGTTTTATCCAGATACTCAATTCATTGTGTTGTATATGATGTATAGTTCTTTATATTTGTGTCGGGATCCTAAATCTTGGCGGTATACATATATGAAATAAATTTCCATATGCTTAACTAATTTCTAATCGATTTGATTAGTTCCTCGTAAATCTCTGTCAGTTTTCCATCGAGAAATATTTGCAGCTTGCTTCCAAGTAAAAATCAGTTTGCAGCTTGTCCTCGTGTGTTCCACCTTTCAATATTTTTCCATGCAGCTTGTTGCCACCTTGCGAGAGGAGAGGAGAGCAGAGGAGAGCTTCCGAGAAGACAAAACATCTGCCTGCCTGAACTCTGAACTGAGCTGAACTGCAGCCGGCGGAGTGAAAAGTCCGTCATAAAGACGGCACACTTCCTAGTAGATCGGCTCCTGATCGGGTGGGTGGGTTGGGCTGGCAGGTAGCGCACGCGCCTGGCACGCGCACCTTGCGGCCAATATTCTACGGGTCCAGGTAGTTGTGGGCCTCCGCCCACTGGGCGCAGATCCTTTTTAGCGATCGTTTAAATAGCTTCGCACATTCCACTCTGACTTCAGTCGAGTTCTACTCGTGTCAAGTCTAACTTGTGCCCAAACAACCAAGAAAACAAATTGTGATTCGTTTTGTTTATAAAATAATATTTGCCGTGTGTGATATACAAAAATTCAATATATATTTTTTAACATACATATATCCTCAAAAATGGATTTTAATTTTGATTCTGTGACACCCTCGACGACCATGTCGTCCTATTATAACTTCAAGATGGCAAGGTATGTGGCCAAGCTCTAGTGTTGCCTCTTCTCTACATTTCTATGTATTTGTTTAAGCGCAATTTTTTATTCTGGTTTTCGAAATATTTGTTTTTCCAAAATTTACAGCATTTGGTTTGAATTTTGACAGGGTGACAACTCTGGTCGCTGTCTTTTCTATGGTTTATAGTCGATATTTATTTAAATGTTTGACAACTTTGCTTGCATCCTTAAATTGTTGTTTTTTCCAAAAATATAGATTGGGTGACAACTCTGCTTCTCTATTTTATACTTTATGTTATATTAAAACCTAGGCAGGGTAAAAACTGCGCATTTTTATATGTTACCTATTTAAATGCTCAGTCGGGGTAACAACTCTGCTTGCTCGCTTTGGATTTTTTTTTGCTAATTCCAGCAATTGTGCAAGTTGACAACTCTGTTTGCCTGCATTTAACTCTGATAGCTTTCTGATATGTAAATGGTACATATTTGTTGGCTGGGTGACAACTCTGTATATATTTTATTTTAATATCAGCTGTGTAGAGCTACAACTCTGGTAGCTCTTTTTAAAATGGCGTTCGCGCTCGCATTTTTGAAGTCTGAGCTGTCAACTCTGCTCCTTCTCTGATGCACACACACATTACTGTATCTATATTCTGTTATTGTTATGTAATATGCCTGATGTTAAAGCTTGAACTTTTAAGTAATTAGCATTTATTTTAGTATCAGTATAAGTTATTCGTTCACACATACACACACACACACACACACACCCACATGCATACAAATACGCACACACGCACACACACATAAGCACGCACGCACACGCATAATATAAGAGAACACACACAAAGCGCGTAATGCACGTCTCTTTGATCATATGTTAATTTCCTTACCAATTTCTCACCTTTCACTCCCAACTACAACAACAACAACAACTTCAACAACCTTAGTAACAACAACTACACAGCTGAGCGCGCCAACAACAAGAACATCAACTGCAGCCACAAAGAAGAGCGCCAAACGTAACAGTCTACAAAAAGAGAAAAAGAGAGAGAAGCAAAGCCCGCCAAAACATTTGATACTAACAGAAAGAACGAGACAGATTGAGTAACTGTACTGTGGCTGGAAGGAAGGAAACAAAAGGCTTAAATCGCAATTGCTTGCGTTCCAGTGTTGCGACCATTGTCTACGACGAGAGCGTCAAAGCTCTCGGCAGGCAATACAAGAACACACACACATCCAAACAACAACTGAGTCTCTCATACACACACACAAATACATAGACATACATACCAACACCCGCACTCACTCACACAACAGCCAAAGCAGACGAGACAAATAGTATATAAAAAAAATATATATATCACGTGAAATTAACAGCAGCTGGCAGCTGAGAGCGCTGAGCGCCAAACAACTACAAATAACGAGAGCGAGAGAGAGTAAGAATAGAAGCTCTCTGATCACGTCAAGTGAGACAAGTGCGAGAGAGCGTGAAAGAGAGAGAGAGAGAGTGAGAGACAGAACAACCGATACCTTCAATAAAACAAAATAACGGCGCACTGAGAGTATTTTGCAAAAAATACTCGTGCACACACACTCTCAGGATATGTACGGCAACAATAATCCGGGTAGTAACAATAATAACGGTGGTTATCCCCCATACGGTTACAACAAGTCGAGGTAAATTTTAACTTCAGTTTCTTCATCTTCAAGCATACCAACAACAACAACAACAACAACAAAACACAGCAGCAGCAAATAAACCCTCCCCAATTCCCAACTCCAAAAATATCCCAGAAGAAATATTTCCCTATACATACACAAACACACACATACAAACACAACTACTGCAATTAACGTGCAAAGTTCTATTTTTTAGCGCACACCGAAACCAGTTCCCAAAAATTCTTTTTTTTTTTTTGTAATTTTTTTGCCTCCCAGTTTGATCCTTAACTAGCAGTTAAAATTTTAAAAATTCTGCTGCATACTTTGCAGCTGACTATAGACTTAGATAACAAAAAAAAACCCAATTTTTTTTTGCTAGGCTCAAAAAAGTATCTGGCAAATTCGCTGTATGCATTGGTATATATGTATATGTATATCTATTTATTTTTTGAGATGTGGCATGTGCCGCATGTGGCAACAGCAGCTGTAAAATCATATAATGGCAGAATAATAGCTAAGCATGTGGAAGAAATTACCTTTCGCCCACATTTTCTGCTATTGATTGACGCCATTTGCTGCTCGTGTGTCACATGTGCACTTGACAGAACGTAATAGACAGAAATACCGAACAGACCCTATCAATATACATCAAAACCAATAACCAACCCCTCTGCACACACTCACACACACACGCCCACACACATACGCACACATTTTCTTTATTTTTATCTACTTAAAAGAAAATGTATATTCCCGCAACAATGGAAACCCTTGAGTGTGCTACGATAACAACAACAACAACAACAGCAAAAGCAGCAACAGCAATTGCAAAACGCAGAACCAACAACAAGTATTATTTATCTGATATGTACTAGATTGTACAGTCAATAATTAAATTAAGCACAAAATGCAGCTTAACCTAACCTCAAAACAAATAATCCGTGTGCACTACAGCAAAAAGCAGTCTCGTTCTCAGGCAGGTTTACAGCTATAAAAAAAAAAAAAAGAAGAGAGAAATAAATTTGAGAAATGATATACAAATCGACACGAATTCCCCTAATTAAGCCACGTAATTATGATTTAAGCTCATGTAAACACGCCCCCTAGAGTTCGTCATGTGCATCCTTCCACATCATTTTTTTGGAAGCTGTTGCGCTCCACATTTTATTCTCTTGCCGTAGCTTTGTTTTTGCGCTCTCTTTAGCTCATCTGCTAGCCATATTTACAGTTACGTTTTTACGTTAGTTACGTCGTTTCATGCTCGCTCGCTCATTGATTTGCTTACGTATGTTTCACATATATCGCATAAGTATATTTAACTGACACGATTTTCTACAGCGCATCGCATCGCTAACGTCACGTAACGCAACATGTCACGTAACGCAACGCGTCGCGTTCTGTTCGTAGTGTCTTGCAATCAAATTGTGATAAATACATGAATGTTAACATTAAAAAAAAAAAAAAACAACAAAGAGAATCGAACTATATTTAATTAAGCTTAACGTAGCGTAACGTAACGTAAGGCAAGTCAACAACGTAACGTAAGCTCTTCCAATCGAACGTAACTGTAATTGTAACACTGCATTTAAAATATCAAAAACAAAACCAAAATGAAACGAAATCAAAGCAATATGAAAAAACGCGCCTTATAAACGTCTCCATTTCGAGTTCCGACGGGATTTGAAACCACGAGAACCATTTCATTCGTTTTTTTTTTTTTGGCACCGAGGATTAACGTAACGGCCTAACAACGTTTTCGTGGTGCGGCCTGTGCAACCTAAACAGCCTCACGATGTACCGGTAAATGTTGTTAACTAAAGCCAACAAAAAACTCAACTACTTCAGTTTTCCTTTTTTTATGCTTTTAATTTTGCACTCCTTAAACTATTCGCTTTGCGTTTGACTAATTTGTACGCAACTCAATTTAACCTCACTTGAATCAGAATTTCACTCGAAACGCATTTTCAGTCACCCGTCGTCGCCGCCCCCGCCCTCCATAGCCTAGGTTAAGCTCTGTTCATAAGTTTAAGCGAAATTCTCAACTTCTTTTTTTTTTTCTCCGACTGTTTTTTGCTGTACACACACGTGCGCCGAGTGCTTGTGTCCGTAGTTGACCTATTTGTAAACCCGGCTTGCGCCAACTGGGGCAAGTCATTGCGGCGCCTCTGGCATAGTTTATGGTGCGGCTGCTGTTGGGCTGGGTCCTTGTGCCGAGTGATTTAACATCATTTTATTGCCAAATGCAATATGCAACGTGCGCTCTGTTGCCGCACTTCATAAATGGGTGTGAGCGAGAGAGAGAGAGCACGCACTCCGAATTGTGACAGCCAATGAACTTTGCAGCTGCTGGCGTCATCAGGCATAGTTTTTTTTTTTCTCTTTATGCACTCAAATTTGTTGCTGGCAGCTACGTGCGGTCAAATGTAAACAAGCGACTCCGAGAGAGAGAGCGAAAGAGAGCGCACATGTGCGTGTCACGTGCTCACAAATTGTGTCAGGACCTTGACATATGCTAAACAGCAGCAGCAGCAACAGCATAATCAGCCGTTAACATTAGCAGCACTGTTAAGCTTAAGTTATGTATATTTGTATATGAAAGTTAACAGTAACTAGTTAGCTTGTAAGCAGCGCAGCAGCAACAGTTGTTGTTGTTGTAAACGTACACACTCACACACCAACACACCAACACACCAACACAGATACAAACACCAACACACCTAGACAGCGAACGTCTCCATATATGTCCAATGCATAACAGACGAATTGCCTATTAGATTGCATAACTGCGTCTCGCTCTTAAGCACTGCAATGGCTGCGAACAGCAGCCGCCGCAGCAGCGAATCATGTTCGAAAACAAAACCAACAAAAAATAAAATATAATTATAATGAGAATAAGGCCTTGAGCCGCAACAACAGCAGCAGCAACAGCAGTAGAAACAACATCAATGTCAACATTCAACAATCAACATATCAACATATCAACAATCAACAAGAATCAACAAGCAGCAACAACACAAGCAGCAGCTACTCCCATTAACAGAAGAACAACAGAAGCAGTTACTTCTGTTAACAGCAGAACAACAGCAGCAACTACTTCTGTTAAGAGCAGAACAACAGCAGCATCAGCAGTAACATTAGCTGCCAGTGTTACCAGAAGAAGCAAATTAAAGGAATTTTTTGTTTGTTTTTTTTTCGTGTGCCTACAGAATTGTTTTTTTTTTCTTACCCAATTATATAAATATGAAAATGAAAGAGAAAAATATAATATACACACACAAACACATACACACCCACACACACTTTGACCATTACACACGCCCCCACCAAACCCCCCCCGCCCTCGCATACAGCGTAAAACTGAATCACGATGTCAACAGCCGCCAAAGCATTAATTAATCGATTTATCGATATTTGCCAGTTGATTTAATTGTGTAGACATGATCTCTTTTCACAGCAACAGCCAAGCAGCATTTTCAAGCGATCTCAACAGCGAAAACGACAGACACAAACATTTAGATTGTATGTAGTGTGGTTTTTTTTCGGTGCTTATTATTATAATTATTGTTTGACAATCAAAAAAAAAAAAACATAAGAAACTGGTGTGATAACTCTGTGAAGTACCAACAAAATGTTCCTTAAACGAAGACGCCGTCAACGCCTGTAAGTAAAGACTAGACATTTAACCATAACTTAACATAAAACACAAAGAAAAAAAAAAAAAAAAAACAAAACAAAAATAAATTGAATTCATGCATTCTTAAGTTAAACTAGACACTAAAAACACACTTGAACAAAAGTCTCCCTGCATCATTCAACTACAACAACAGCAACACACAGTTCTTGTCAACTGTGTCTACGTGGGAAGTCCCCAAAAATGTTTCTCCTTTTTTTTTTTTGTATTTTTTTAAATATTTTTTTCGAGTGCAGCAAAAAATTATTATTTTTTTTTTCTTTTATTTTTTTTCAAGTGCATGACAAGAATTTGAAAATTCATTCAAATGTGTGTCCGCAGGGTTTCCCTTTTTTTTCAGTGCAACTGAAATGAGTTTTTTTTCGATTTTTTTTTAAGTGCTCCAAATAAAACTTGCAACAAGTTTGCGTCCGAATTTCTTAAAGGTTTTTCAGCGTTTGCTCAATTTTTTTTTCCAGAGTGAAAAATAAACAGAAATATCTATTTTTTTTTCAATTTTTTTCAAGTGCATCAACAAAAATGTACAAATTTTATGAAATTTGTGTCCGCATTTATTTATTTTTTTCAGTGTAAAGCAGTGCAAATATAACGTAAAATGTTATTGAAGTTACGGTTGGTTTATTTTTTTAAAGTGCCAAATTTTTTTTTAGGTGTTCAGAAGTCAATTAACGGGTGTAAAAGTAAAACCATAAATAAATTTTGTTTCTTTAGGTTACCGTATTTTTTTTTCTCGGTGTTTCAAGCATTGCGCAGATCAAGTTCCAATTTTCTTTAAATATTCGTTAGTGCGAATTGTGAGAAATTGTTCTTGGCATCTGCTGCCTTTTCACAAGCAAATCATTTCACCTTCTCTCCACACCTGAGCGCCCAAAAGGCTGCCACGAATTACACAAATGCCTCTTCAGAGTATTTCCAAACTGTTGTTATTAGTTTTTTTTTAGTAATCTAAGTCTTTTTAATAATAGCAAGACAATGATTGAAGCTGTATTCGTTAACAGAGCACTTTACAGCGCGCTGTTAGGCGCTTAACAGTGGCCTAACGGTGCGTTGCGAGGATCTGATAAGTTAACAGCTGTTATCATTGACTTGTTTTAAGTCTCTTTCATTTGAATTAAGCTCAATAAGTTAGTTCCGTAAGATATTTCATTCATACATCAAAACATTTCTTGCTCATATTTCTAACGAAAAAAAAAAACCAAAACTAAATTGCGCTTTAAACCAATTATAATTTTGTTATTTTTAACCATTTACCGAAACATTTAACAATATAAAATTCTAATATGCGATATTTTCTTCTCTTCAATCATCAATCATACGTTCAATCAACAGCGGTGGACGTGTATTTGGCATGTCACATTCACTGCCATCTGGAATGGTACGTATTCTTATTTATACTTCTACTTTTTAAATACAATAAATTTTTATATTTTTATTGAACATAAAGTTCGAAATCAATCAAATCAATCAAATTTCATTGCATGTGCAATACCAGAAAAATATATAAAAAAAAAATTATTAATAAAGAATCTTTAACAAATAAAAATTTGCAATTTGCAATTTGCATTGATAATTGAAAATTTTTTGGTTTTCGTTTTTGTATGTTTATGCAAAATATATTTAAATTTATTCTAGTTGAATGTTATTGAGTTTGTCTCATTGAACGCTCCTGAGGCACACACGCTTTTAATCAGAATGAAAAGAAAAAAAACAAAAACAAAAATATAGTCAAATAAAAATCAACTTCATTTTTGTGGATGCTCAACATTTGATTTGTACAAAATATATTAACTTAAACAGAAAGTAAATTAACTATCCCAAAAATAAATTAAACTTAAACTTAAAATTTGCATTTTGGTCAAAAATAAATAAAAACAAAAGAAAACTAAAGTCACAACAGTAAAAACTTAAAATCAACAACAATAACAGCAACACAACAGTAAAAACTTAACAGCAACAACAATAACAGCAACACAACAGCAACAACAACAGAAACATAAAAGCAGCAGCTAACTATGCTGCAAACAACATTTCATTGCATACTTTGCAACAACAACAAGAACAGCCTTGTGCTGTCCAAGCTCTTCCGTTTCCCCTAACCACAACCTCTCCCTTGCCCTACGCCCGCACACACACACACACTCTCACTCACTACTTTTGTGCTGTTACAGCCAATCAAAATCGATGAAACACACACATAACATAAACAATACACACATGCACACACCCACACACACGCGGCCCTAAGCGGCTTTTAGAGCATTCGTTCGTTTTCCTATTCACATATTCTTTGAAAGTTGTTCTCTTTATTTTCTTTAATGCTTTATGCTCACAGTTTGCAATTCCGTTTGCCTTCGAAATGTAACGCTGAATGCCGTTATGTGTATGCAGTTACACCCACACATACCACACACACCCATGCACACACACACACACACACACACACACAGAGAGACATTAAAACTTAACAGCAAGAGCTGTGCTCAATTGTTTTGCACCAGCGCTGAGCGCTGTTAAAAGTTAACATGCGTCTGTTAAATAGCAACTGTTAAGTACGCACGTTACATTCAACCATTTATTCTCAAGCAAAACTATTTTACTTTAAACTCAATTTTCTGCAACTTAATTAATTGCTTTAAACAATATGTAGAAATTTAACTTTGTGTGAGTGCGAATATGTGCGAGAGTGTGTGCGTGCGCTGTTGTTGATGCTGCTGCTGAGAAAATGTTTGTGTATCGATAACAGCGAGAATCGAGACAGTCATCGAAATCGAAGTTGAAGTTGAAGTCGTACCTTAAAGCGTTTATGAGGCGTGCTCTCAACATTAGAATATCTTTGTATGGTTAATTTGATTACAGTCACGTTATGCGTTCTCACCACAGGACACAGAATTTACATTTCCAAGTTCCTCGTCGCGTCGCGGTTACAATGATTTCCCAGGCGGTAATGGCGGCAGCGCCAATTCCCTTGGCGGCAATATCTGCAATATGCCGCCAATGGCCAGCAACAATTCGCTGAACAATCTGTGCGGCCTATCGATTGGCAGCGGCGGCAGCGATGATCACATGAACGATCAGCGCAACAGCAACACCAATTTGATAGTCAACTATTTGCCGCAGGATATGACTGATCGCGAGCTGTATGCCCTATTTAGAGCCATTGGACCCATCAATACGTGCAGAATCATGAGAGACTATAAGGTGAGTTAACAATTCATTAGGGCGCTAGCTTGAAGAGCTTTAAGCTAACTTAATGCATTCACTGAACTTGCGAGTTTTTGCTGAGCGAGCTTCATTTAGATACTTGCACACATTTGCAAGCTATTTTGGAAGGGCTTTAAACAAGCTAGACAAGTCAAAGCTTTTAACTAGCTAAACGAAGTCAGAGCTTCAAATCAAAGCTTTAAAATAGCTTTGCATTGTCTGAGCTTTAAGTGCGCTTGAATATACCGACTGGCCAGCACTTAAAGCTTTAAGCTTTCACAAACTAATTGAGCTTTACCTTGATCAGAGCTTCAGCTCAACTGATTTAGTTGCATTTCACCTAAAGCTTTAATATTGAAGTTCTCTTAGGCTTCTATGTTAAAGACTGAATAATTTTAACTGGAAAGCTTAAAGCTCTAATTTGTAACTGTTAAACTTTATCGGAATCTTATTTTAATCGCATTTTATTGAAATTTCTCTAGACTGGCTACAGTTTTGGTTATGCTTTCGTGGACTTCACATCGGAAATGGACTCGCAGCGTGCGATTAAAGTGCTCAATGGCATCACAGTGCGTAATAAACGGCTCAAGGTACGTGCTCCCAGACTCCTCCCCCAATAACTCTACCACTAGAAAAGCATCTCTTGAACTTAGCTGAGCAAAAGCCTAAATCTATGCTCTCTTCTCAGGTTTCATATGCACGTCCTGGCGGTGAATCGATCAAGGATACCAATCTGTATGTGACCAATCTGCCGCGCACGATAACCGATGATCAGCTGGACACGATCTTTGGCAAATACGGTTCCATAGTGCAGAAGAATATACTGCGCGACAAGCTGACCGGTCGGCCAAGGGGCGTGGCATTTGTACGGTAAGTAAATCCGACTAAAACCGAAAATCGAAAATTGTTAAATCGATAAAACGCACATGATGCTAATCGATAAATACACTTTGCCTCCGCTCTACCAACTGCAACTTTGCATTTTAATCATATATATATATCTATATATTTTTCTTTCATGCTCTCATTTTGGTTTTTTTTTTGTATTTTTTTTTTTTCTTTTGACAATTCGATTCGCATCGCATCGCCCGCCCACAACAAAACAAAACAAAACGAAAAAAAAAAAAAAAAAAACTCATCTCAAATGTTAACAACTAAATCAACAAAAAACACAGCTACAACAAACGCGAGGAGGCACAGGAGGCAATCTCGGCGCTGAACAACGTCATACCGGAGGGCGGATCCCAGCCGCTGTCGGTGCGCCTGGCCGAGGAGCACGGCAAGGCCAAGGCGGCGCACTTTATGTCCCAAATGGGCATGGGACCGCCGCAGGCGCCACCACCGCCGCCGCCGCCGCCGCCGCACATGGCGGCCGGCTTCAATAATATGGTTCACAGAGGTAGATCATTAAAATCACAACAGCGCTTCCAAAAAACGCATCCGTACTTTGATGCACAAAAGTTTATCTAAATAACAAACCAGGAAATCAAAAAAAAAAAAAAAAAAAAAAAACAAGAATAAACAACCATAACAAAAAAAAAAACAAAGAAAAACAACAGACCAGTTATACATACAATCTTATGTATATATAATATATATATATATTTTTTTGACAAACAACAACAACAACAAACAAACTGATGCAAAATCACAACTCTAACCCCCCCACATCTAAGGAAAAACAAAGAAAAGAATAATTTAAAAACAAAAAAAAAAAAGAAAAACAAAAACAAAATTATAAGAATACTTAACTATAGTAATAATCTTTAGTTCTTTATTATTTGCATATTTAGAAACGTATTTTCTATAACTATTTTAAACAAAAAAAAAAAAACAAAAACACAAACAAATTTCTCGTTGCAATTTTTTATTTGTTATTTTCTTTTTCTTCCTAATTTCCATGTAAATTACACACAAAAATGTTTGCTATATATATTATAATAATATATATATACATATATATATATATATATATATATATGGTCAGAGATATTTGGCCATTTTTAGTGTAAAATGATTTTTTTTTTTAAGAAAATTACAAAAACAAACAAAAAAAAAACAACAAATAATATTAAAAAAGAAACTAATGCGTATTTTTAAATTAAAATTAACTTTAGCTAATACTAACGAAAAACTGGAGAAACAGAAAATGAGAACAAGAAAACAAGCAGGCAATTTTTTTAAGATCATAAATATATATATGATTTTTTTTTTTTTTGTATAGCTTTTCCACACTTAAGCTTAGAGCAGCCCCAAAAACAACAACAACAACAGCAACAACCCGACACACACACACACACACACACACACACACACACACACATACACATGTATACAGATAAAAAAGTAAACATAAACGAGAGCAATATGCAGGAAAAATGACTAGAAAACCGAACCCAAGTGCCGTAGAAATTGTTCTTCTAATCCTTAAACAACGATCGTGTCACGCAGGAAACGCATAACAGTACATGCACACGTCTATCGATAACAATCGAGCGATAAATATATATACATATACATATAAATATATCGATTGCAGTTACAATTACAGCGCTGCATTTAGGCTTAGTGCGCATTCTGCTATAAGAGCAAATATATATACCAATTTTTTTTATATATATACATAAATATACATACGTACACATATATATATACATATATACTCGTAAATACATGTAGAAATGTGCTAACAAACAAATAACTGCTAAATGATATTTTTTTTTTTTGAGTGTATGTGTGCGAAATAACGGACTGAGCTGATTTAAAAAAAAAACAAAACGTAATGCAACAAAGTATCCCACGTCGAAAATAATTACGCAAAGAAAAAAAGAAAACAATGAACGTGAATAAATATTTTTTGTTTTTTTTTTTTTTTTGTGTGCAAAGCATACCGTGTGCTAAAGCAGAAGAAGAAAGCAAAACAAAAATCTACAAATAAAATGCAAATCAAATGAACCAATTTAACAAAAAGGAACTAACTCGAAAAAGAACTGAAAATGCACATAACCTAAAAAAAAAAACGAATGAATTATGAATGAAGCGTTGCCCTGTTTGTTACACTTATCCATCCTCTTTGGCCTATAAGTAATACACAATCGCTTCATATTTATGATTTAATGCCCACGTAACAACAACAACAACAATCAGAAACAACAACAACAACAACAACAACAACAACAACAACTACAGCAATAACTACAACAATAGCAACAAATCTTTCTCATAACATTTATAAAAGAAATAAAAAAGAAACGAAGAAGTAAAATTTATATATAGATATATATACCTTATACCATATATTGACTATATATCGTATCTATATCTTGAATAGCGTTAAATTTTAAATTATTTAGTTTGTAGTGCGTTACAAAAAAAAAAAAAACAATAACAACAGCAACAACAACAGCAACAGCAACGCCGACCGGCCGAAGCGCAAGAAAAACAACAAAAAGATTAATCATCTTAATATATATAATCATATATATATATGCCTATATATAAATATATATACATATATATACACCTATGTATATATATTGAAAAAAAAAAAAAATAAAAAACAAAACGCAAAACAAAAAAAACAAATTTTTTTTATTTTTTTTTGGTTGTTGAAAGTCAGCAAACAAAAAATGCAAGCGAAAAATATTTCTTTTTTTTTTTGTGTGTGGTATAACGGTAAACATATGCGTGGCTGTTCTGTGTGTGTGTGTGTGTATGTGTGCGTGCGTGCGTGCGTGCGTGCGTGCGTGTTGGAGTATGTGTGCGCTTCCATATAACGTTTTTTGTTCGTTCATCTAAACAATATGTAAAAGTGTTTGCCGCAAATGATCGCCAGGGGGCGCGCGCGCATGCAGCAGGTTTTTGTTCACAGCTCACAGACGCACACGAAAAAAGAGGTTAAAGAGAGAGAGAGAAAAAAATGCTATGAGAGAGAGAGAGAGAGACACAGAGACTTGTATTGACTTGTAAAGAAATGCAGGCGTGGCGCATGGTAAGTATGCGCGCACTTACGAAGCGATAACGGGGTGCTTAGTTAAACGTGCTGTTATCGATCGATATGTTATCGTTCAATGTCAAATCTAAAATAGATAACATGCAATATTTTTTGTATTTTTTTTCATGTGCTATTTTCCAACGCGCTCTGCTCCACATATGATTTTTTTTTTCCAATTTTTTTAGTGTTAAATATTTTTTTAATATTGTTTTTTTTTTTTTTTCCATTCCAACGAATGAAGCGAAGCGAAAAAAAATATACAAAAGCGTAAAGCAAAAATGCTGCCAACAAAAACACCCCCTTATCGGTTCCAGTGCCAAAAGTTCCATAACAAAAAAAAAAAAACAAAATAAAATAAAACTATAAACAGAAAAGAGAAAAAAAAAAACTAAATGAATAAACAAAAACTATATATATGTTGTTATTTTTTTTTCATATTTTTTTTTGCAAGTGTATCATGCATAAAACAATCATACAAAAAAGAAAAAAGGTTCTAATTTTTTTTTCTTCAACCTGACAAAGTGACAAAATGTGTGCTGAGAGTCTCGCTCGAGAGGTTCTTGTCTATAAATGTATATATGCATATATATTTTTTTGTTTACTTTTTTTTCGGTGTTAAGATTGCAGCTCTTAGCGTTACACACATACACATACACATATATATGTATATGTATATATATATGTGTGTGTGTGTGTAAAGTTTATTCTTTATAATCAAAATATTTCCCCCATTCTTTTTTTTTTTTTTTTGTTGTGTTGTGCCTGCTGTTTCAGTGTTAAGAAAAAGAAAAGAAAATCTCGGCAACTACTGGAAAAATCAGTTCAAAAAAAAACTCATAACTCATCCTAACTATGCAGCTCCCCCCTTTATATATATATATATATATATATATATATATATATAAAAATTTTTTCATTCAGGCGACTTTAAACAAAATTTTACTACTGACAGTTCTGGAAATTGTAAAAAAGGAAGCAGGAAATTGAAATTGATATAACTTGTTTTTTGTTTTTTTTTTTAATATTTGTGATTTTGTTTCTCATGTTTTTCAATTCATATATATATATATTTTTTTGTTGTTGTTGTTTGCTCATTTTAAGTCTTATGTATTTTATTTACATTTTCCGTATTTTTTTCACATAGCTTATAAACTTATATTTGGTTTAGTTTAGTTTAAATTAGAACTGAAAAAAAGAGAAGAAACAAACGGAAAATTGAAGCCAAGCCAGAATTTACTTAGTTTATTAACTTTAGACTTTCCGTGTAGTTTGTGTTTTCTATATATACATAATATATATATATTCCTTATATGTCGCATTTGTTTTGTATCCCTAGTCAAACTTTACAGCACTAACCAGGCGTGGCATTCACCATATGCCACGCCCACTTTAGTCGAACCACTAACAACCAGAGTTTCCTCCATTTCATCATACTTATTCGACTCTTCTTCTTCTACAACTGCCTTTGATTTTTCTTGATTACAAAATGTGTTTGTTGTTCAACCATCGACGACATGTTTAAAGAAAAAAAAAAATATGAAAAGAAAAACCAAATTATATATACACACATATATATATATATAAAATACTACTAAAAATCTAAAAAACCAAAAAAAAAAAAACCATAAAAAACAAAAAAATCAGTTGTGGCGCCGACAACTAATAAGTTGTACAATTTGTTTATTTTTTTCATTTTTTTTTTATAGACGGAGCAATGGAAAAATTACGCTCATTATTCGATGCTATTTGCGATGCTATCTTTGGTCTCGATAGTAATTATTCCTTTTATATTCTCTACTATGCCTAATGATAATCATAATCATAATTGAGTTTTTTTTTTTTTTTTTTTTTGAGAGCACATAAGAATAATCCGAGTCTAAATATATAATTTAAGTAGTTTAGCAACACACGCCCATACAAACATAGATCTACACAAACAAACAGACATTCTCCACTGTTGGCTGACAAAGTGGGCGCGAGAAGCGCAGAGAGAGGCGCCACCTGGCAAGGCGAGAAACTTGTAAGAAGCTGGAACGAAAAGAAATTGCTTACCTAATAGCTTGTGAGCCTCTCTCTCTCTCTTATTTGCCGGCAATTCGCAAAGTTGAGCATTTGTAAGTTTCTCTCTGCTCTATATGCTGCTCGCTGCAGCTGCGAGCTTTTTTGAACGCTTCTCGCGGCCAATTTGAAGTCCGCTTTTAATAATATACTCACAAACATGTACACACAGATATACAAAATAACATACACATAATCGGACATTACCCGACACATATTTATTCGACACAGCTCAAAAAACTATATATACAATATATATATATATATATATACTTTTATTCTTTTTCAATATCAATGCGAGCTTCAAATTCCGCCTCATGCTGCAAATTTGTCGAAAAAAAAAATACAAAAATACAACTCTTCAAAGCGTGCCATGTTTTCTACATTATTCGATTTAGTTTCTCATTCCTCATCAAATATTCAACATAATTCGTCTGATTCGTGCTTATTTGACTCTCTCTCTCTCAAAAAAAAAAAAAAAAAAAAAAACCAAAAAAAAAAAAAAAATTAAGTATATTTAAAATTAAAATTTAGAGCGTTATTTGAAAAAGTTCCAATCGCGCAAAAGGCAACAAAATTAATTAAACTAACAAAAATGATAATTATAAAATTTGTACCTCACAAAGAAATGCGCAAAGTCCCTACAAATCATAAACATTCCGCTTTACTCAACAAATATATGTATACATATATATATCAACCAGATATAATATTCCAACCAAACATTTTTGCTATTGATTAGTTTTGCTTGCGCTTTCCCTGCCCCTGCCCCTGCCCCTGCCCCTGCCTGTAATTACCGAACCCAACGCTTTCCCCTAGTCCCAACGTTCCAGATCCTACATTTAGCACAGCTGCTCCTATATACAATATATATTGCGCAATCGCAATGCGCCTTTTTGTCCGAGAAGCTCGTTAGCTCAGCTACTGTGCTTTTTATATATACACATATATATATAACATGAAATCAATCCATCAATCAAAAAAAAAATATATATATATAAAATATCTCAATCATAGCCTCACGTATGCGTTCGAATTTGTATTTTCTTTATAGTTGGTTCGTTTAATACATATACACAAATAGCATATGTATATGAAATTGTGTGTTTGCCTGCCAAGTTCGTTTTTCGACACGCACCGAACTCGAGTGCTCTACAAAAATCAAAATCATTTTCAACACGTTCATGCTGTAGTCTAACATATTCGCATAGAAACTCATCAACCGGTTGCCTAACCATTTTTTTTTTTTTTTGTGTTCTTTTAAAACCTCACTCTATTCCAAAATTCCCAAAAGTTTTTCCCAATTTTGATCCAAAAACTAAAAAGCAAACAAAACATGGCACGTTCAATGAATGAATCAAGAAATAATCGATCAATTTTCTAGTTCAAAAAAACAAGTAAAGAAAAGAAAAGAAAAGTAAAACTCGTTTAACTTCCAAGACTTTGTAACGTCGTGTAATGCAAAATGAAAACGTTGAAGAATCAATTTTTGTTTATTGCGCTTCCAAAACACGCAACGAGCTCCAAAGAACCAAAAAAACCAAACTCGCAACAACTTAAACAAAGAAAAAGAAAACTGAAACCAATTCAAAACCATATCAAATACAAATTTTTAACGTAAACGCAACCAAAACCCAAAAAAAAGAAAACCAAAACAAAACAAAAACAAACCAAGTACAACAATAAACACGAACATCTCCTAAAACTCTAGACAAAACAAAATATAGCTTATGTATATACATATATCTGTACGATCAGTCAGTTTTTAGTACACCGCTTAAGTTATTTAAGTTAGGGTTTTTGTCTAGCAGCACTTGTCAACTTAATTCAAACTTAAAACAAGCATTGTATGTCTTAAATTTGATATTTAACAAAAGAACAACATTTAGCTTAAATTTAAACGATCTTTTAAACCTAAAACTTAAAATTGTTTTTTTAACGAATGCCAAACTTTTTCAAATAGACGCCTAATAATATTAATATCCTACTCAAAGTCATTTACTAATATACAATTTTCTCTTATTTTTATTTGTATTCTTTTATTTTTTTGCTTGAAAAAAAAAAAAAATGATATAACTTGTAGGCGACAACTTTGCCGATTTGCTTGACGGACTGTACCGCCGGAAGTACCATTATCCTTACTTATAATTGACGCCGCAGCAGCAGCAGCAACTGCAACTCTATCAGCAGGCGTGCGGCTACAATTCTCATGGCAACAACAACACCAACAACAGCAACAACAATAGCAACAACAACAGCAACAACAACAATCAGAACTCCCCCAACAACATGCTACAATATCATTCACTTTATCAGCAGCAACAACAGCAACAATCGCCGCCGCATAGCCACAACAACAGCAACAACAATGGACAGCTGCCACGCCTGAGCAGTGCTGCTGCTGCGCACAGCAGCAATCAGTATCAACAGCAGAACAACAACAGCAACATGGGCCACAACAATCACAGCAGCAATGCGCAACGCCAGCAACATAATTCCAACAATGTTGCTGCCCACAACATGCTCAGCTACAATCAGCAACAGCAACATCACAGCAGCAGCAGCAACATGCAACTGCACAGCAGCAATGGCTTAAGCTTAAGTCCACACGGCAGCAACATGCAACTGCACAGCAGCAATGGCTTGAGCTTAAGTCCACACAGCAGCAACATGCAACAACAATTCAACAGCAGCAACGGCAACAGCCACCTCCATAGCCTCAGCTTGAGTTCACACGGCAGCAACATGCAACATAATAGCAACAATGGCTTAAGCTTAAGTCCACACAGCAGCAACAGCAACATCAGCATGCAACAACAACACAGCAGCAATAGCAATGGCTTCGGCTTAAGCCCACACAGCAGCAACAGCAACAGCAACATGCAACAACAACAACAACAACACAGCAGCAACGGCAACAGCAGCAGCAGCAGCGGCCATCACATGCAACAATCTGGCAACAATCACATGCTTTCAACACAGCAACAATTGCTGGACTACGGCTATGGCATGGATCAACAGCAACATGCACAAAAGCTGCAAAAGCTACTGAGCAGCAACAGCTTCTCAGCGGCAACAACTGCAACTGCAACAGCTGCAACAGCTGCAACAGCAACAACTGCAACGGCAACACACGCAAATGGCGGCTTTTTGTGGCCCACATAACCTCAAAAACACACACAATAAAATACTTAACAAAAAAAGAGAGAGTAGTGAGAGCGTAAAACTCAACGGATAATGAAACATTGCATATATCTTGAACTAATGTGGATCATCTATATGTTCTCAACGAATACCAATCAATTTAAACTTAACATTAATTAATTCATGAATATTTTTATTCTGACCAATTTTTTTTGTTTTTTTGTGTGTTTATCCTTAAATGTTCCTCAATACTTTTGTGTTGTAATTTTTTTTTTATTTTTGTGCTTTTTTTTCGGAGGACTTTTTTTTTCTTTCTATGTAAAATGCGACCGTAGTTAGTCGCTCTCTATATATATAAACATTATATATGTATACATTGGCTATATGAAGTGAAACACACTGATATATATATATACACACACACACATATATATATATATAAATATATATATGAAATACTATATTATAATCAGATAGAAATGCGAAGGTTTTTTTTGTGCTTAACTTTAGGCGAAACGATAATTTTTTTTCAAACATATAACTAAATAAATAATATATATATATATATATATATATATATATATATATATAGCATACAATTAGGCGTGAAGGCATATAAGCTCTGTTTTTTTTTTCTGTTTCTGTGTCTCTTAACTGACTTATACGAGTACCGGATTATATATATATATATATGTATATTTATATAGCTGAAAATCTGTTTACATTTTTTTTTTCATAATTTATAAATACTTTTTTTTTATAATTATTATATATACTATATTCATACATGATAATATAAATGTTAGCATGCTCAAGTTCAGGCTGTTCTTACCAACTATAGGATGATACGATGAGGCGAGAGAGAGAGAGAGAGAGCATGAGAGCGAGCGAGCGCGCGAGCTGAGTTTTAAAGGGTGTATGGGCAGCACTGCACGCCTTCTGTTGCGACAGTCTGGCAGCACTGTACGCTGCGCCTGTTTCAACAGCAGCTAAAAAAAAAACGTGCAGCTTATTGCGGGGGGGGGGGGGGGGGGGCTTGACCCTTCGCCCCCCTCAACCTGTTCACCAGACAAAATTACAAAAGAAAATAAAGATAGAAAAACAAAAACAAAAGGAAAAATTTTTTTTTTCATAGTTTGTAAAAGAATTTTTTTCATAATATTAAAGATTTTTTTTTTTTGAAATGAATTTTTTTTTTGTATGCGTTTAAACAACTTGAGCATGTTATACAAACACACACACACACACACACAAACAAACACACACACGCAAACAAATACTGACAAATTGAAGAACCTTAAAAAACGAAACGAAAAGCACGTGATAAAAGCCTGACAGAAGTGAAATAAAAAGTAGACAAAAGTTAATTAAAAGAAAGCGCAAGATGTAAAGAAAGAGCACGAAAATTAATGCGGCGCCTTAGTGTGTTAGTGGGCGTGGCACTGGCGGCTACAAGAATTCAATTTATAATTTTATGTTCAATTTTATGATTTTATTACTATCTAGCTTTTTCATTTTGTAATATTTTAAGTTTTGTTTTGATTTTAACATTTGCTTCAAGCCACGCCATTTGCCACGCCCACGAGCGTGCATGAACTATGTAAATGAAACATTAACAAAAACAAAACAATTAAATTAAATTAATTTCGATTTAAATTTCAATTGAATTGTACTCCAATTGATGAGCATATGAGAAGATCTTCAACCTATATTTGGTTATAGTTCTTACGAATATTCATAGACGAAACAATTGTGAACTATTTTACTTTGTCCCAAAATTTCTGAAATACACACACAATTTAAAAACTTTTACTCTATTTTAATTTGAACATAATACACAAAGAATTTGAAACGGAAATACGTATAAATAAACATTTAGCAACAACAGCATTTTCTTCATTTTGTTTTATTTTCATCGTTTACATTTTTTTTTTTAAAAGAAACAGAGTCGAGTTTGCAACAACGAATTGCGATTTATATAAAGCATATTCTTCATTAAACATAGTCGACATTTTAGATTTAAGAATATTTACGGGCAAATAAATGCAACAAATTTAAATTGTTAAATAGCATACAATTGATAATTTTTGCATACAGCTTGGTTGTGCTGAGTACTAAACATTCTAAAAATATCAAAAACAAAAAGATAAATAGATAAAACATACGAAAAAATAGAAATCGAAATTACAATACAAAAATATACAAATGCAATTTTTTTTTTTTTAAATAATAATCATAACGTAAAAATATAGCAGCCAAAATGGTTAGTTAAGTTCTGAGTAGCCGCGAGAAGCGAATGGAGAAGCAATACGAGAGTCTCTTAAATATGCGACCAATCGAAATGTTAAACACAGAAGCAAGAAGCGAAAAGCACACTAAAAGTAGAGTTCGCAGCACAGCGAGAGATATAGCAAGTCACAAAGATGAGAGAAGAAAGAAGCATAGCCCATAAAAGAGATAAGTAAAATGAATGACAATGCCAGGAAATAAGACTTAAAAACGTTTAAATACAGAAAACACGCTATATTCTTGCGTTATAGCAATAAAATAAATGAAAAACAAAACGACAAGCAAAGCAAGAAGCAAAGTGAGAAGTTAAGCAGGAAGCAAAGCTGTAGTTAAAATAGAAGCAAACCTCTGAAACAACCAAGAAGCTCGGCTACATTAAAAAGCGAGATGCAAAACAAAAATCACAAGAAAAAAAACAAATTCCTAGAGAAGCTCAGCGAGAAGCACAGCAAGCAGCGCAGCGAGAAGCAAGCAAATAGTTAGAAGAACTCTTCGTGCTTATTGTAGTTTTTTTTTTTTTTTGGGCAGCTGTGCGAGCATTTTGGCTCATCATATCCACAAAGAATTTGCTTCCAGTTAATTGAATTGCTTCTCTAAACGCTTCTCCCGGCAGTCAAAACATGGCGCATTTGGCACAGAGATTGCAACACACAATGCATATGACCCTTAAGGAAATTGACATTAGCTAACACAAAATGAATACTCAACCAATCGTAGCCTTAGCTTGTAACGAATATCGGATTAATCCATAGCACTTAGCGTCTCGTAACTAGTTCTAGACAAAGCGTAATGCAAATTTTTTTCCTTATCCAATAATCGACAAACGATAAACTGTAATCGATAAACGATAATCGATAGCTTAATGACGTCTCATCAATTGTTCAAGTTAAGGAGTTAAGCCAACTAATTCAAATGAAAAATATATACACAAAAAATCAACAAAAAACAAGTTCAACAAATCAACAAATTCTTTTATAAGGAAAATGAACATAAACAAATGTGTTTTTTTTTCTAACCAAATATGTTTTTTTGAGCATGTGTAAATTCTTTGTTTTTTTTGTAGAGATGATAATTTTTTTTTAAACTTATATTTTATACAAAAATGAAAGAACATATTTTTTGTTGTTAAACATAAGCAGCCAAGCTAATTTTGTTGTATATGTTTTTTTTTTTTTTGTGAAGGAATAATCGAAAGCGCAATTAAAAAATATATATATTTGAGCATAAATTTAAAGGAAACCTCACAAAAACTAATTACACACATTTTAAATGTTGTTCAAGAAATATATGTATATATACGCCTACAAATATATAGACATACATTTTTTTTTAATATATAACCAAAATAAAAGGCGTTTAGTGGTAAAAAGAATCTTTTTATAATGCATAAATAAATCGAAAGACGCATACACAACTTTTTTTTTTGAGTTTAGCATAAGTAAAAAACCAAAATGAAAAACAAAAACAAAAAACATTTTTTTATATATTGAAAGGTAAACAAAATAAAACAAGAAAAAGTCAATAAGAATGATGGGAAAACCAAATACTTATATTAACGAATCGAACCTCAAAACTGATTAGTAAAAATAGTTTCTTACGTATAATCAATGCATAAACCAGGTTAACAATAATTCTCTTTTTTTTGTCAGTTAGCAAATTAAACAAAGAATAGGCGACTCATGATACTATATAAAAAAAAAAAAAAAAAAAAAAATTATTTATCGAGATTAGTATTAAAAAGTACGTTAACAATTTCAAGGCAAGGCGCTAATTCTGTAAACTGTGAATTGTTTATATTTGCATAAATTCTCTTTAGATTATTAATTTCCAATTTCTTCTTTCTATGCTCGAAATCTTACTAACATATTCCATCCTATATAAAAACTCATGTTTGCAAGAAAAAAAAAAATCCAAAAAAAAAAAAAATATCCGAAAATTTTATATATATATATGCTAGCTACATTACTTATATACACAGGCATATGGGCATTTCCAGTTCGTACGCTCTCTGTAATGCACACTGTACTTTTTATGTTGATTGACGCTTGTAATTCTCAACATGTTAAAGCTTCGAAGAGAAGACAAGGCGTTTGCCCTCTTAAGTCAATGGCAAAGTTCGCTAATAATAGAATCGGGAGATTCTCGTAATATCTGATCAAAGTTGAGGCAAAAGAAGATGATTAACGGAAATAGATTTCGTTTTCATCATCATCATTTTGTTTGTCGAAAGCTTTTCCATTTTGGAGACATGTTTTTTAGCTGCACAATTGGAATGCAACTTTTTCCAATTTAAACTTCTCTTCCTTTGGAAATGCCCATATATAAGTACACATAAGTACATATATAGTACACATATAGTACATATATTAAGCAACTATATACGAAAAGAACATTTTTTTTTCGGCTTACAAATTGTAACTGAACTTAAGTAGTGCATGCGAAATATTATAAAAACTAAATAACGATTTAAAAAAGAAAAAACAAAACAAGTTTAAAGATGAACCCGTCAAGCTGCTGTCAAAGTTTGTATGTGGAACGTGAACTGCCCTTTGAAAGATTTTTAAAAACACAAAATCAATATATATAAAAATATGTGAAGAATAAACTAAATAACGACAGCAAGAAATACACAAGAAAACGACAAAACTACATAAGCAATATATACCATGCATTAATAGAGGAACAAACAAATAAAAACAAAACAAAAAATGTATTCACTGAACCGATTAAAA